CAGCACGCTCTGGTCGATTGGCAGCCAGGGTGACCTTGCATGGGACTTGGCACGGATTCCTAAACACTGTCCTGACCCTTGCGTATAGGGTGCAAGGGTACCCAAGGGCTGGGACCGCCTATCAAAGCTCGAAGAGAGAATGGTTACGTGCATGTCATGCTGTCAGTAATTACCGATCGAGGTTCCATGTATTAGTCATGTGTACGGACGACGACTGCGACCAAGACGACAACCACCACCAGGACGCCCCGGACGACCACGACGGCGACAGCGAGCCGAGGACGATGACGGCGATGACGATTGTGACGATTGTAAAGATTCCCACGGCTGTGACGATCAAGACGATGACGATGATGGTGGTGGTGCTGCTGATGATTCTGATGATGATGGTGATGGTGGTGATGGTGATGATGGTGACGACGCCTAAACCCTAAACCCTAAACCGTGCCGCGATGATTATCAATAGATGTCGTCACGTAACAAGGACCCGTCAGGTTTCTGACTAGTACCTCAGTTCGGACGTGTACATCAACTTTTTTCGATTGACTTGTTGTTTATGTGCAAACCAAGGACAAAGCATCGCTTGGATTGGCAAGCGGCAAAGGGGCACAGGGCCTTTAATCTTGATCCGCAGGATGGTTCCAACTAAGCGCGCGACAGCCATGGCTGGCAAACGTGTGAATTGCCTGCAGCAGGCCCGCACAACGGCAAACTGCTCATACTTCTTGTCACTTGTCACAGCTGCGCGTATGAATCTCAGCACATCACAGCTCATCACTTCCCGTGGAGGAGAGATATTCGTCTTCCTGGAAGGGACTCTCCGGGGAAGCCGTGACATGGGACAGGAAGGCCTTGCATGACAATCGGGCCTCGCCCACTCCTTCACTGCCTCGCCGAAGCCACGCAATGTCCACCCGACTGCTAGCATGTCCGACCACCTCGGACGCAAATGAATCACAAAACCTGACACATGACAGCAAGCAGTGACACCTTATTTGTGTAAGTTGGCAGGGATGATTGCTAGAAAGCCGCTTTTGACGTTGACGGCTATTTTCTACGCTTTGCAGCGGCTTGAACGGTTTCTTTGCCAGGGTCTGGGATTTGCGGAAGCACTAAGCTCCAACATGGCTGCACACTAACTAAGTGCTCAAGTTCGTTCCAGCCTGCAGCGAACGACTTTTTGCATCTGCACATGCAACCGTCCCGTAAGCATGCCACAAGCTTTTCGCCGCTGGCTGGAGCGCGTGGCCGGGCCGGATTTTGATGGCACACATACATTCACATCTCGCGCATATGCTTCAGGTGCTCAAGTTCGTTCCAGCCGCCTGCAGCGATCGAACTTTTGCATCTGCGTATACAGTCGTCCCGTTAGCACCACAAGCTTTTGGCATCCCACCACCTTTCCCTACCAAGCCACGTGTCACATATGCAGCTCACGACCGGCGAAAAAGAGTGCCACAGCCATGTCGGTGTCAAAGTCGTCTGCAGCTGCTCGGCCACGAGCACCACAGACTGAAATGATGCCAGCCGCGAAAAGACCCCACTACGCGTGGCCCGGGCCAACCGATGCACAAGCTGCAACGACGATAGTCTCAACTGTCGCGCTATTAAGCCAACGGCCTTGCCGCCGGCCCAACTCACTGTCCTCCGAAGGAGGCACCCCTCTGCTCGAAGTGAACCAAGGTCTGAGCTGCCGGGACTTTGTCCCTCCCAGCGGCTGTTTGACCTGGGGGTCGACAGCTGGTTGCCCCAGTCGTTGCACAAGCGAGTCAGAACGGCTGCGTAGCGTCGAAGGCAAGCGGACGACGCAGCAAGTCCGGCTGATCTATAGTTTTGCAGACTGATGCCGCGCCGCATGGATTCGAGTCTCTGGCTCGCTTGATAAACGAGCGCAAAACACATGGTGTCACAGACATCGCCCGGAATAAAAAGGTCGGTGCGACGAGCTCCCAAAGTCTCTCCAATCCTCATCACGGCAATTCAGGTCAGAGCCAGCGTGAATTCAACACGTGGCCATCCCCAGACCCGCGACAATGTGATGGTCGCAAGAAAGACCGCCAGGGAAGAGCAACATGATGGGATTGCGGCTTTTCTCGTAGCCACGCAAAAGCTAACTCCCAGGAGGGCTGCAAACACCGGCTCTTGGTTAGCAACAACATTGATGACCTCCGAAAAATTGAGAATACGGCCAGCCTGCATCAAAAAGCTGCGCAGCCATAGCACACCAGGAGGGTGTTCAATCTCTTTGTGTTGGCGGGTGCCAGGCCCAGCAAGGTTTGCGGCTCAATGTATCGATCTTCCAAAGACGATGCAAAAGCCTGCAATAGCTTGTCGCGGCGCTTCTGCGTGACAGGCTCGAGCGGCCTGCCCTCAGCCAAAACGACAGCAAAACTAGCTTTCGACCCCTTTTCGTCAGCGGCGCGGCTCGGGCGCAGGACATGGCACGGAGCAGCAAAAGCAGCAACCTCAAGATGACCCTGAAGGTCAAGTAAAATTGAAGAAAGGCCCAGACGCAGCGTAGCGGGCGACACAATGCCGCATCGACAAGGATTACAACACGGCAAGAGCCGTAGTGGGGCGAGAGCTTTTGTGAGGCACCAAATGGAGGTGGCTTCAATTCATGGACGAATGGCATGGTCAAGCTCAGAGGCAAGAGCCTTGGCAAGGAGGTTCGGGAAGAAAAGCCGATCAGCTGCACGACGGGTTGCCATGGCAAGCTCACCACGGCAGCAAGGCAGAGAAACAGGAGACAAGTCAATGCATGTCAATGCCAAAAGCAAGAAACTTCATTCCTCGCAGCAAGGGCCCCCAAAAGCACAGGCACAGAAGCAAGTGCCGGAGAAAGTGGCTTCCAGGCGCCAAAGTCGGGATGCCTGGGTAGGAATTCCCTCGCCCCGGCTACGTCCTCCGAAGTGAGGCAGTCCATGACTTGGGCCGGACACCACATCATGTACCAGTTTCTCTTTGCCGGCATAGCCACCGAACCTCTCGAAGTGCTGGCACATCGACACCCTCCTCGATGGAAAGGGACTGCGGAATCTTTTTGAGGCGGCCAGCCTGCAATTTCCAGACCGCTCCCTTTCAACCCACATAGCTCGAAGATCCGATCCTGATGAGGAGGACAATTCCCCCAGGCCGTCGTCTTGCTCGGCTGGCGAGGGCCTGGCTTTGCTGTTGCTGTTTGGACATTGGAAGGAGTGGGGACCCACAACCACGGCAGCCCCCCAAACACAGCAGAGCGGCATCCGGGCGAGTACGAGGATCGGCGAGCTGAGGCGAAGCGACGAGGGTCATTTTCGTTTGCAACGTTTTTCTTGGACGACGCCTTCGCGCCTGCCGGAGCGGCCTCCCCGGCAAGATCTGCTTCCTCCCGTGCTCACCACCAAGCCCGCGGCAGCCAGCAGTTGGGAAGCAGAAAGGCAGCGAAGTCCAATACAAGAACCGCGGCTTCCAGCTCGAGCGCTGCTCGACACCCTGCTCGCGAAGTCCCAAAGAGAAGGGTGCCTGGGTTGCTGGACTCTGGGCCAAGCTCGTGCTTGACCGCGTGCCACGCCCAAGCCTTCCGGCCGGCTTCCATCCCGTGCGACATCGCTTCTACATTGTGTTGCGCCGCTGGGGCCGCGCCTGCCCTTCTTTGTACTCTTCGCACTCTTCGGGAAGGAGGTGGTCAGCTTTCTTGAGAGCTCCGCCGGCTTTCATCCCCTCTGCGACGTCGCTTCTATATTGTGTTGCGCCGCTCGGGCCGCGCTTGCCCTTCTTTGTACTCTTCGCACTCTTCGGGAAGGAGGTGGCCGGCTTTCTTGAAAGCTCCGCCGGCTTCCATCCCCTCTGCGACGTCGCTTCTACATTGTGTTGCGTTGCTTGGGCTGCGCCTGCCCTTCTTTGTACTCTTCGCACTCTTCGGGAAGGAGGTGGTCGGCTTTCTTGAGAGCTCCGCCAGTGTGCCAAGCATTTGCTTCCCTTGCCGAAGTCGATTTATTGTCGGCTGGTGTCGCCCTTCTTCGGGGAGCTGGCCTGTGGGGCCTTGTGGTTCCTTGCGTTGAGTTGGGCCGATCGTACGGCACCGGTGCCAGAGGCAGTTGCCATCCCGATTAAAAAAAGGCCGAGGGCCTGCAGTTGCGGGTTTTTTGTTTGTTGCGATCCTAGGCGATGGTGAGGCAGCCGAAGCTACAAGCCTTGTCGGCCCCGGTGAGGGCCCGGCAAGCAAGCAGCCAGCGATCAGGTACCGGAGCCCTCCGGTTGTAACGGGCCGTGAGATGGCCGGAACAAAGAAAGGAATGATGCACCTCAGAAGGGCCTGGAACCTCAGGCTAGAACCACTGGAGCGGCGGAGAGGGAGTCAGGCCGGATGGCACCGCAAAGCTGGTGGAGGGAATCTGCAAGGTGGTCAACAGCCTGAGAGAAGTCTCGATCATTCACGCAGGTAGGCCCTAAGGCGAAGGTCAGCTGGCTTTTTGAAAGGCGGAGGGTGGACAGGTTCCCGAGAGGTGCCTTGAAAGAGACGTCCCTGAAGAACCACACAGTCAGAACCACCCCCAGCAAAGACCCACACCCAAAAGCCACGCAGAGCAGCAGCAAGGATCCCTTCTTCAGCGCGAGGGACAGTCTAAGCCCCACCAGTTTGACCAAACCCCAGCTTGCACTAGCCGGAGTGCCCGCTGGATCCACATCTTGAGCGGCAGAAAAACAGCACCTGTGCTTCAACTAATTAATTTCGTGCTTCGAAGTCACCTGCGAGGGTCAGACTAGCCTGCCACTATGGGCCAAGAAGGAGAACAGCTTTGTACATCAGAGCCGCCAGACCCGGGTGGGCTAGGTTTTTTGGTGCCGAGACCGTCTTATCCAGCCGTCCTGGCGAGGAGTGGCGGTCATACTGATCGCTGTAATGAAGAGTATGCTGCAGTCGACACCAGGTCTCAGGTCCCCGCTTTGGCCCGGAACCAGCGCCCATCCCCAGGCCAGGAAGCCCAAACCTTTCGCGTTGAACACGCTGCGGACTGCTAAGTCTCGGCTCCCTCGTGAGCCTCGCTGTTGAGCGGAGGCAGCTCAGCGGAGGCAGCGCTGGCGGACCCGACGACATCTAGCGAACGACGCAGCTCGCCGGCGTCATCAGCAGCAACCTGCCGCAAGGCTTCGCTCTCTCACACTCTCGGCACAGAACTGGAGAGGTCTCCCGATGTCCCCGTGCCTCTTCGGAATGAAGCAAAGACGCCGACAGCAGGGCCAGGATCCACTGCAAGTCCTCTCACCGGCTAGACGGCTCAATGCGGAAAGAAGATGAAAGAAGCGGCACGAGATGTCCTGTGTTGCAGAGTCCATGACAGCTTCGGTGCCAGGCTTCTTCGCCTGACAGAATACATCAGAATACGGCGCACACTGCCGGTTGAAACGCTCAGTTAAGCGCCAGTGCGGCCTGAGACTTTTCATCCGCTGCATCGGACAGCAACACAAGCAACTGCCTGAGATGAGGCTGGATGAGCTTCGCTTTCCGAGTAACGCCAAAAGCCGAGTCCGCGCAGGCATGCCGGACTCTTGAAAACCACATCAGTAGAGCAATGCAATCGCTCACGGAGTCGAGGGCCGAGGCACTTGACCAATGGAGCCGGCACAGCACAGGCACATGCCAAGATCTCCTGAGACAATCCTTGTGAGTCCCACGCAGCACCATGAGCAATAGGCTGCAGTAGGTCCTTCAGGCAGACGCCTGCCTCTCCCTCCAGCATCGGCCTGCCTCGGGTGCAAGCACGTGGCATTCTGCCTCTGCTGAAGGCTCCTGAAGGCTCCTGTGACTCCGGCTCGCTGACCCTTCAGCTTCTGCTTCTGCCGCTGCTCGCAGTACAGCCCGACCTTACAAACATCACGGAGCACACAGGCCCTGCCGAGCCCACAGCCCAAGGAGTCCACCGGCTCTGGATCGCGTCAAAGCGGTCAGCGCAATATGTAGCGCTTGACTCCTTGGCGAAGCTTCAAATCTCGTTGTAGGTCATGTAGGCTACAGATGGCTACAGTAGGTCTTCGTACAAGGAGTGCACCCCCTAACACAATGCTCGCACGTTTGCCGCGAGCAGAACTGTCAAGCGGAGGGACGGAGGGCCATTGAAACATCCGCTCAGTGCAGAGCCGGCCCTTGGTCGGGCCACTGTTTCGCTTTAGGCCGAGCTGCTGAAGCAAAGCCTGCAAGGCTTCAGAAGCCCTTCCGGCAGCCCTGCCTGAGGCATGTGCGGTGCAGGCTTCTAGCATTGTCTCTTCACGTCTCATGCCGTGCGCTCGCAACTACTTCCGGAAATGGCCTGGTGTGTCACTATCCGCACGCTCAGTGCGCTTCAGCCGTGCCTCACCAAACACTCTTGGTCAGTACCACATGCTGAGATTTGAAGACAGGTGCGCCTGCCAGGCCCGGAGGACCTGAGCTACATCGGCCACCAGCAACCGGACTCCACCTCCAGCATCGGAATACGTCAGGTTCAAATTTCCAGGCCCATGCACGCCAAGTGCCAAGTCACCGGGAGGTTCCAATTGCTTGGCTTCTCTGACGAACCTGTGGACCTGCAAGACGCCAAACAAGCAGGAACTGCAGGGCGACCTCGGACTCGGGATGTGGCCAGCTCTTCCCGGGACCCGTTTGTCAGATCCTGACACGCACAACGAAGGCGGGAACAATGGCGTAAAGGTTGGAAGCAGACCTCTGAGGAGGTCAAGCCAAGCGAGGACACGCCACCAGTGACCTGCTGGGGCAGCTACGGCTGCGGGCTCGCGCACGACCAGGGCGAGGTTGTGGGCTGTGGGCCTTGTCTGCGACGTTGCTTAGAGCTGCCTGGCCGTGCAAGGCCGTGCACGTGCGGACCTTTGGAAGCTCTGGCCTCGCCTTGCCTCGCCCTGCTCAGCCAAGGTTTGCGCTTGCGCCAGGAATTGCTCTCCGAGGTGCTGGAGCTCTGCCTCTGATAAGGAAAGCTCAAGGCTCAAGGGTTCTTGCAAGTAAGTCCTTCTCAAACAGTCGAACATGACTAAGCCAGTCATGCAAGAAGGAGGAGAGAGAACAAAGCCTAACGTCTTCGGAGTACCACGAACAGAGCAACGAAGACTCGCGAGCATTGCGCCGTCGGACATGGCAAATCCGCACTCCAGGGCGGGGCACGGATCAGAGCGTTTCCGAACAACTGTGCAGTGAGAACCTGCAGTGATTAGCAAGCCGGCGAGCCTGTTCAGCAAATCGTTGGACAGAGCTGGCCGCCCGGTTCCAGGTGTCCCTGGGCACTTATGATGCACGACTCCAAGCCCAGGCCGATCACGCTCATTGTCCTGAACTGGTTGTTCCATTCCTGCCAAGCCAAAAATTGTCAGGCTTTAGCACCGCAAGAGTGCCGTCCTGCGCCCCTCCCCGAAGCCAGGACATAGCACGCCGGCTCCAGGACTGTGAGGGCAAGGCTTGAATCGTAGTATTTATATGGCAATATTCGCAGTCTAGTGCACAGGGGAGGCACTCGGCGAAGCTCTCCGTGAAGTTGCCGGCTTAGAATCGAATGGTGTATTCTTGCCCGTGTCATGACTCGGTCATCAACTGTAAGGTTCTAATGCGGTCAATTTGGCTGATCTGCTGGCTTAAAAGCCGAGACTCGGAGCTGCTTTGCCATCTGCGAACACTGCCAAGCAGCAAGCAATGCGCAGTGGCAGGATGCGGGTGCTTTTTTGTCGAGAGGGGCCTAGATGGCCAAAACAACCTGGCCTTGATAGCTTCCCGGCGAGGGTGAGACAACTCACGAGCGCATGTGCTCTTCACACTTGAACTGACATTAACTCGGCGCTTTCCCGGTCCGCAACAGTGGACTGCCGTTTGGCTGTGGAAAGTGCCACCAGGCTTCACCTCTCTCGCAACTTCTCGGCTGAAGTGACAGCATGATATGACGGCTGCATGACCGCTACAAAGAAATTGGAAGGCAAAGCTTGTGACTGTCGTGATGGGCGGTCTAGGCACACTTTGTGCCCACCCTCTCCTGGCATAGCCAATTAGATATTATACCTCGCGCATGAGCTCTGCAATCTTACATGGAGACAACTTGCAGCAGACAAGACCAAACCTCATGGCACCTTGAGTAGATGCTTTGTGCTAGCAACAGTCGCTGAGAAAATGCTCATGGCCTGCGTTACAGCATGATCTCCATAGAATGCCAGGGCGTTCGAGACAGCCGCTCTTGTCGTAAGCTATGATAAATGCCTGCATCGCCAATATTCGGCTTGCTGCATTTTCCTGATTGTTTGCGCTTTTCGGGCACAACCCAGTATGACTTTGCTCCTACTTGATCTACCGAAGCTACTGGCCGCGAAAAGAGACCTTTTGGCCAACTGCACTGAAAGCGTGTGGCGCCACCGGGCAAACTTGGTGAAGGCATGTCTTGCACTTGGGCCAGGGCCTCCATTGGATTGTTAGTGTCTTCATGACGCATGAGGTCACAAACAGCAGACATGATTTGGCCGCTGCAAGATTGCCTCGTCAAGCGAGCACTGAGGCTTGCCTTTGGCAAGACAGACACGCTTGTCTGATGTCATCCGCAAGTTGAAGCTGCAGCGGATTCCAGTGACTTGACGGAGGATAACACAACATACCTTGGCTGCACGGGTCTGTGGAGTCTTCATGCTAGGATCGGTCCCGAGCGATCCCGAAGCCTGCTTTCCGGTCATATCAAATACTTGTAGCAAGTGCGAGAGCCACAGGGGAGCAGGAATCAATCCAGGAGAGTGTAAGTACGTGAAAGTTTTTAGCACAGTATGAGATCGCTCAGCTTGTTGCTACTCGTTGCTTCTATAAGGCTCAAATTTCGAGCTTGTTCACGTTTTCATGTCTTAACGCCACCCAGATGAGTCTGAGTTTCCTTTTTCTGACTGTCTTACATACACTGCCCGTAAATCCAAAAGTCCCCCTTGGTCGGTTCTTTAAACTTTACGTGGTTTCACCTGTCTCGGCGCTTCGGCAGAGGCGACTTCTGAAGTCAAGCTGGCAAGATAGATGATCTACCTGTAGGCTTGTGTTCTAAAGGATGCTGCTGCTGCCCACATGCGAAAGTTGCAACACCCCCCGGCTTCCTTTAGCAGGACTTAGCGGCAAGCGTTGCTGCTCTCTGCTCGATCTCATTCAGAAGCTGGATCCACGTTTAGTGCCAATTCATGTGCTCGACAGTCCACCTGTCCGCTTCGCCTGCCTCCGTCACAGCAAACACAATCAGTTGCTTCTTAGAGAACCTCGGATTGAACCTGACGACCGCCTGCGGCATCCCGATGTTGAGACAAAGTGCACATGTCAAAACATGTTCTTTGATAGGCAACTTGGCGAAGCAAAGTAAAGCGAAACCAAAACTCTACAAGCAGCACAGACTCTCGCGGCCCTCGCCGCTGCCGCGTTTCAGGAGTGCAACTTCACATGTAAACCACATCGACACAACCAACCAACTAGCGAAGTGGTGTCATGCGTACGGTGCACTGCGTGCAAGGAAGGAGATCGAGCATGGATGATGGGCATGGCTGCCGTGCCAGCTCGGTAAGAATAGCCTAGCCTTCAGTGAACTCAAGCGAAGTTGTAAGCGGCACCTAGCTCACTAGGCAGCGATATCACGTTAACCCAAAGCCCAGCATGGTGAGGGTGTGGTACCGGCAAGTGCTGCATAAACTGGCGTCTTGTAGCAGGTTCTTTGATTACGTTACATGACGGTCTCCCGGTGTGTCAATGCATGAATGTGAGACGATTTCCCTCCTTGGTGCCACACCTCCATGCACTGCAACGCTCTTGCGCAGGTTTCAGATGGTTTCAGGAGCTATCCACAGTGGCCTGTTTTCAATGGGTTCGGGTTGTTTGAAGTTGCTTCTCCAGAGGCTGCCTGCTCACATGAGCGACAAGAACGATGCTCATCTAGTTATTACACTAACAGCACCAAATGACGAGGAAAGAAGCAGCAATAGGCAAGAGGTTCCAACGTATTATCTGGGCAACGGCTGCATCGGCTTACGACGTCAATTAGCTAATTAGCTCACACAGGTGGGCTGTTCAAAAACAAGCATCACAGCGCTCCGGGTGCACAGGTCCTGCGTAAAGTAGCTTTGGTTGTGAAAGCAGAGCACAAGCCACGAAACGTCTGAGTCGGAACTGACTCGGCCCCTCGCCATCAGAGTGAAAAGTGGAGCACGTGCCCATCATTTTGATAAGTGTACTGCGCTTGGTTTGTTCTTTCTGCAACAGCCTTCCTTGCTTCCTTTCCCTCCTATGGTGGTTGCAGTTCAAGTTTGGCTATGCACCAAGTGGCATTCCCATCTATGACTACTCGAACCTCCAAGTTGTGCTTCTGCTGTCCCACCCTGGCCCCAATCAATCCCAATCATCTGCTTAGGCCGCAGAAACAGCCAACAGCCCCCCTTGGCAAAGCTAAGGATCACCGGCTGCCAAGTTGCATGCACCAAACCATCACCAAGATCACGCTTGTGATGCGTTTGAAGACTCTTGGGCCACCAAGCTCCCCACCAAAAGCCTCTCAGGTCTCCATAATTCGATGCTCGAGAAAGGCCCCGACTCTAGTGCCTTGCCTTCCGTCGCAGGAACAAGATGAACATGCAAAAGAGCGCCCCGACACTGAAGATCACCACGCTGTAGCCCAAATCTCCACCTGCTCGGGCTGTGCAGAGCGCAGAGCATCGCAGCAACTGTCGGTGAGCAAGCCATGCGGCTTGGTCTTGAGGTACACGTCGAGTCTTTGGACACAGCACAGACTAGAGGCTCAGCATTGTGATTGAACATGGTGCATTGCTTCGTGATGGTGGCTGAGCCCCGATTCGGCAGGCTCCTCGTCGAGACGAGTCGGTTACGAATGGCCGTGCATTCGGCTCATTGAAAAACGATCTGCAGGATGCCAGCTACAAAGCACACTACTAAAAAATCCCCGCTGCCTTCTCACCTGTCCGTAAGAAACACGACACTTGCAAGCAGAAAGCGGAATGGGCATCCACAGCAACTGCCCCAGGAAAAGGCCACTGTAGGAAGTAACAAACCGAAAGCTGGATATGGTTTGTCGACATGCTGGTGAAAAGACTGGTCTTCGCTTCTTGTTTGTGGTGTCGGATGTCCTTCAGACCACGATCAATGCTGCGCTGCCGAGGTGCTGTCAACGTGCACTTGATCCGACGAAGGGGATTATGAGTTGCCACTCCGGGGACAACTTAGCACTGAGTGCAGCACATGAAAGACCAAAAAAAAATTGAGCAATTATCCCAGTTTCGAACATGCATCGCGCTTCCTGTTAACAGACGTCGTAGTCCCATGGCAATCACACACACAAAGATGGAGAAAGGCAAGTCGACAGAGGCAAACAGCTGAGCAGAGTTAGCAAAAATCTACAAACCTGCACCTCGTCGGTGGTTTCACTGTCACTGTACCACTGTGAATGCTGAGTGCACGCACCACTGATGCACCGGATCATGCCGGTGGCAAGCACACAGCAAGCATGGGCCGGAACTCGGCATCAAACTTGTACTCTACGGGAACGGGGACATGTCTCGTTCACAGGGTGGACACACAAGCAAGGCCTTTGACTCGATCCTGACAAGCACGACCCCAACAAACTCTCCAAATGGAAGCCTTGTAGCCTGTTGAGATAGCTTGAGAGCCAAAGGGCCCTGCCTATAACGATGAATTTACCACCGCCCGTGTTCCAGAGGTCGAAGTTGGCCTTCACGGATGACGGTGACTTCGCTTCGCGCGAGTTCGCAGCCAAGGCTTCGCCCCCCGACGGTTCGGTTCCCGGCCTCGGACTCGTACTTCTTCTGCCACTCCGCGCTGCGACCAACGGAGGCCCAGTAGCAGGAGCCAATCGTCCAAGGGAGGCCGAGTCCGAGAAACCTAAAACATACAGAAATTCAGGGCCCACGCGTCTCTCGTGACTCCACGGGCTCTCGCGCATCTTGCACACATCTCATGCTCTGCCACACCCTGAGGTCGTAGCACATTGACCGAGTTACTGCCGGTCACGTTGCCGATCGAGGCATCGGCATAAGGATCCTGCCCGCAGGCCGTTTAAGCTGAACCATTTTGACTGCATGTTCTTGGTCATTCTGACTGCCATAGAGCCTGCTCTGCGGCGGCTTTGGATGCAAATGTGTCCGGCAAGGAGGTGCCTAAAGCAACCTGAAGCATCTTGACAATGTGTGTTTCAGTGTAAGCTCGTGAAGATCTGCCAGCGATCGCAAGCTTGGATATGCACCAACGTGATTGCCGTAACGAAGTCCGGCATGTCGAGAACACAGCCCACAAGCCCCTCAGCAACAGGGATGTGCTGCATGTGAAGCCATTGCAAACTCATCTTGGTCGCCCACAGCTAGATCGCTGATAAGCGCTGTCACCAACCCAATGAACATCAGCGAGAAGTAGAAGCACAGCCAGCCACCACAGTAGTCCTTACAGGTGCGTCGAGCGCCAAGCATGTGACTGTCCTCGGCTCCGCAGTGCTAAGAATCCGACGACCGGCGGAATAATGGCAAAGAGCAGCTTCCACGGCATCGTCAGAAGGTGCAACGCCCACTGAAAGCCAGAGGGGGGACCGGCCTGCACAAGCCACAAAACAGCCCACAAGAGACTCCCTGTAGCCGTATAGGCCCTCTCAGGATTTCGGAACGGCTGTGCCATCTATGATGGACTCGGTCGTGAGCACATGGCAACAAGGAAGCAACACACGTTTCCTCATCGTCACCACCATTGACCAGCAGGGCATTGATGAACTGATCCTGCGGGAAAACCCAAATACAACCGAACATACACAATACAAATATGTCTTCCAAAGCCGGAGACCGCCGGTCCTTCCAGTTCTCGTGACCCTTCTGCGTTTTTTGCCAATTCACTCCCAGAGCCCGCATAGTTCTGTGGGCGAGGTTCTTGGATACCTGGCACAACGCATACACCTACGGCTCATGAGCGACGGACTTGGTTACAGGCTTTGTGTTGACTGCACTGCGGAAGAAGTGAAGAGACGCATCTGTAATTCCCAGCTGTGGAGTGGCTTTCACCTCACCTCCTCAGGTGTGAGTACGAAGGTGACGATGCAGCTGTCCTCAGATGTTCATTGTGACGAGTCGGCATCCTTTCCGGCCTCGCCTCCCCTGCAACCAAGTGACGGCTCCCCCATCCGTATTAGGATCGAAGCCTGCACGTCCACTTGCATCCGACAATATGAGCCGGAAGTCCTGGGACAAAAACAGCTCTTGGGACTTTCGGTGGTACACACTGAAAGCTTGTGAATAGTTTCATAGTCCTGAATCAGAGACCATACACCCCATGACGGACCTTCCCTAGGCCCAAAGGCGCGCTGGGTCAATGTAATTCGACCTTGCTCAGTGTCCATAATATTTCGTGAGGGGGGTAATGGAACTCAACAAGAACACAAGAACGGCTTAAGATAAAATGCTGTAATATAAACACTCTGAACTCCGAAAGCTTAAGTCTAACGTAGTACGACGAAGAGACAACGTCAACGACAACCAGCACTAATCGATACTTTCAATACCACTACGAAACGACGCCGACGAGAACGACCACGACGACTGAGACGATGACGAGACGACGGCAGTCATGAATATCTGTCGCTTTGCTTTGGGAACTACTACTAGCTAGGCTGGAGACGACAACCACTACTGCTACTTACTACGACAACTTCGACTGCGACTACACCTACACCTATGCTTGCGGCTACTGCGACGACGACGACAACGACCACGACCACGACGACGACGAATACTACTACTACGACGACTACTGCTGCTACTACTACTACTACTACCACTACCACTACTACCACTACTACCACTAGTGGTAGTATAAAATAACAATACTACTGCTACGCCTACTACTATTATTACTACTACTACTACTACTACTACTACTCCTGCTACTACTACTACTACTACTACTACTACTACTACTACTGCGTTTCCCCCCTAAACGTGTGGTTTTTGCACCTCTTACAACAAAGTCTCCAGCATTCTCCAGCGTAGACTTTCTTACTCATGTGGTTTAAGCATAGCAGCATATTCCACGACAAACTCTCGAAGGCAACTGTTCGTACCTGGGGTACCGGGTGGGGTGGGAAGTGGGGGGGCGTACGTACCCTTACAGTCTCATTATCATCAGTAAGACCCATGTGAACCATAGAGTCGTCACCATGATGAATACGGTGCATGCATCTGCAAAACCAAAAACCTCTTTAGCTACCGTTGCTACCCTCGTGATTGCTCGGACTGGAAGCCCGAAAGCGCCTTTTTTTCCGATGAACAACCTTTCCAAGAGCCACGAAAGACGACGACGACGAAGCCTCTGACTACGACTACGACAGCACATACTGCTGCTGCCGCTGCCATTCCCCACTGCCACTGCTTCCGCTGCTGCCTATGCTCCTACGAGTATGTTTCACCAGGGGCAAATAAAGACTACCACTCACAAAATCGCAGTCGCCTCTTCTTGCAAGCTCTTAGAAGCAGGATATGGCAACAGAACTAGCAAGGTGACGTTTCCCTGCCCTGATTCTTACGATTGAAATGAAGATGCAAGGAGAGCGCAAGCTCTGTCAGCCTAGAGGCCGAGAGTCAGGGATGGATTAGATCCTTTTGCTCTGATGTTTCTGAGACCCCTTTGGCTCCTCTTTGTCCTCAAAGGTGGCCGAGTTCAGGATGGAGATGGCAATCTCCGCGCTAAACTCCTGCTGCCCAAAGGTGATGACACCCTCGGCTCGGGCATAGTCACGACCTCCACAGGTCGAGATCAACAGCAAGTTGTTGCTTAGGCAGACATCCTTACACCGGTGCCTTCCACAGCGCTGCCATCCTGTGCGTGCGAAACCGCGCTGACAGACGCTTGGAAGGGATGCCAACGGGAAGAACTCACGGCCGAGTGCCTCTGTCGCATACTTACATGACACGACTCCGCAGCCGTCGCGACGCCTGGCACGGAAAGGCTGAAAAGGCTGTTCGATCAGAGTTCCATACCAGGCGCCACATCGCAGTATAGTATGCTTGCACCAAGCTCACAAATTCTGATAAACCCCTCTTCGCAACTTCTGCCTGACGGTCATGTGAACTTCTTTGTCCTTTGAGACCTCCAGGACCAGGACTGCGGCTGCCAGACTGCTGCGAGCTGCTACATGCTGCAGCTGGTGGCATTCCCATGCAGGCAATACAGGCACTACAGATCCAGAGTCAGCTTGTGCCTCATCAACCTGCACCACATCGTCATCCGTGTAGATGATGCTGGGCTTGTCAGTGTCGACGATGACGACCCTGTGGAATGAGCCCACAATGCGTGCCCAGGCATTCGCGGGTGCAATGCAGCAATGCACAGCATGGCCCCCGGCCTTGCAGTTATGACTGGCCCGAGGACTGCAAAGCCATCCTGCCCGCGGACAGCAACCCGCGGCAACCTGTCTGCTCAGCGCTAGCAAATCTAAGTTCCCGTCCTTCGAAGCACATCTCACATTTGTGAGATCCACGAAGAAGTCTTCGCTGTCCTGCACACTGACAAATCGAGGACACATCACCTCTTTTAAGATTGAAGCCACTCCGGAATGCCTACGTATGCTGTAATGACTGTAATGCCATGCACAGCAGGCAAGATCAGAAATCTGCCAGACCTCTGGAATATCATCCTTCCAGATCTTGATATCGATCGTCTTCTCGGCCTTCACCAGAAAGCCAACTATCCGACAGACTCACACCGCAACGGCACCACATGTGCGGGCTCCTCCTGTGGCAGGAAGGTCAATGTGCCTTCAGCTGCCTCGAAAGCAAAAAAGCGGCGGTCTCGTCCCACGTCCGCTTTTCTCAATTCTGGCCTCGTAGTCTTCACCTTTTCTCGCGAGGCCATCTCTGCATGAATAGTCCACGGACACGGACAGCGACAAGTTTCCGGTTCGCCGCACGGGCACTTTGATCAAGCCAACCTCATCAGAAGAGACTGAATGCACTCTAGTGCGAGGTTACCTCAAGCGCCAGGCCGTCTCGAGCACAGCGAAATTCTCACCACCAAAGAGAACCGTGGCTGAGGGAGCCGGTGGAGCAACATAAGCACCTGCAAAGCGGGTAATCTGAGCAAGCGCGCCTGGACCGACAGTTCGAGACACCTGAAGCTGGCAGCGGAGGTTCTTCCGCGGGCACCACGGCGGAGAAGTTCTGATTCCTGGTCGCAATCCGAGACTTCGAGGACGCAAGGCGCGAGTCAGACCCGTCCTTTGCTTTCCAACTTCTGCAGGCTTGCCATGGTAGACTTGATCGTGGGCCCGCTTGCGATAGGCTGCCTCCACTGGCTTTGGCAATGGGCACCTAAATCCGACTAGCCTATGGCCTATGCTTGACCCAGCAACACAAGACACCTTGGACATTCTCTGCGACTCCGTGCCAATATACTTGGCGAGCTCTTCATCGGAGAGCTGCATTCCATCTGCCTAGTCACCATGTGCGCTGCGCAGTAGAACTTCCCAGTGAAATCTGCACTGTCCTTGCTCATTCGCGCCAGGTCTTCATCAGTCAGCTCAAGCTTCCCCTGGACAGGCTGTCGCTAAACATGGCACTGCTACCTCACAGAGCAGCACCGCCGCCAGAACGGCAAGGTTGCTGCGAGTCTCGCAGCACAAAACCGGTGATGCTTAGGGGTAGTCGGTGCGCCAGTGAGCAGAGCAAAACACCCCGACACACTTAGCAATCGAACGTTACTGCACGTTTGAACACCGAGGCTACTGTAGGGGCTGGCCGGATGCACGCACTCAAGCAGCACATGGATGACAGAAACTCGTGAACCTGCCGTAATCTGCATGACTTTTTGGGTGCAGCATCATCGGGACTTATTCCGGTCCGAGACCTGCCTTGGGGGTCGGTTTCGGATGAACCTAATGCTGTCCGCTAACAAGCCACGACGACGACAGCATTCACGTGGGGGCAGCTGAGCACACCAGGTGGAAAGGAGAAGGAGCTGACATCTCGATGTGATCATGGACAGGGACACTCACCGTCATCATGCCAATTCGCGCAATGGACGAAAACTTCTCAAACCGCAGATCGTGCGGGGTGTCTGCAATACTCCAAAACCAAAGTGGGAGTGGGTGGCAAGCCCAATATCCCGAAGTGAACGCTGCAGAATCTCCTAGCCCGCTGAGCCTGGAGGCGGTGGGGAATGCGATTTTTGCGCCCGTCCCCCCCACCGCTTCCTCGCTGGCCCCTTTTTGTGCGGCGCTTAAGCTCAGGATAGCTCAGGGCATAGAGGCCATAGGCTAGGTTAAGCTTTGTTTGCTCTAGGGATCCTTGGATGCGCGCGGCGGGTACAACTTGCATACGTAGCCTTGGAAGGCTTGTAGGAGGCGAGGCGCGAACGTATTATCAGAGGGGGTGCTCTAAGGCAGCGCGAAGATGGTGTTGCGCCGCCGCTCCTGCGGTTTTGGTCTTGGACGCTCATGCCATCTGAAAGGATCTGAAGACTGGACAGAGGTCTATTGGAGCAGAAACAAACGCGGCACGCGTCGGTTGAAGAAAGTCAGCTGGATCTGAACTCAGGCGGCAGGGCAGCTTGCAGCCTACAGCACTCCCAACCCGCCGCCTTCTGCACAATGTGCAGATCAGAGTTTGTGCGCCTGATAAAGGTGATGTAGCCTGCCATGTTTTGATCAACATGATGAAAACCGCATGTTCTCTCCCCTGCCCCACAGGGGGCACCTTTGTCGGCAGCGAAGGCGATCGCGACGAGCATGGGAAAGTAGAGGAAGGTGAGAATGCCTAACAATAGAGGGGCTGACGCAGAGAGAGAGACAGGCAGAGAGACAGAGAGAGTGGGATACGAAAGGATGCATGTGTGCGGGTATAAATATATATATATATATATACATATGGGTATATGTATGTATGCATGCATGTATGTGCATCTGTATGTATGTATGTATGTATGTATGTCTGTCTGTCTGTCTGTCTGTCTGTATGTTTGTATGTCTGCATGCATGCATGCATGCATGCATGCATGCATGCATGCATGCATAGTCTGTGTATGTGTATATATATATATATATGCATGTATAGACTCGACATCTGTGTGTGAACCTGTATACCTTCACATTACGGTTGCATATAGGCAAACATACGTATACATGCATGCATACCTACATAGGTATGTACGCACATACGTACATACCGACAGACAGACAGACAGACAGACAGACAGACAGACAGACAGACAGACAGACAGACAGACAGTCAGTCAGTCAGTCAGTCAGTCAGACAGACCTACATACCTACATACCTACATACCTACATACCTACATACATATGTACCCACATTCACATACATATATACAGACATACATACGTACATACGTACGTACCTACATACGTATACATATGTACACACATACATACATACATACATACCTACCTACCTACCTACGTACATACATACATACATATACATACATACATACATACATACATACATACATACATACATACATACATACATACATTACATACATTACATACATACATATACATACATACACACACATACATACATACATACATACATACATACGTACGTACATACGTACATACGTACATACGTACACACGTACATACATACGTACATACATACACACACATACCTACGTACATACGTACATTCGTACATACGTACATACCTACATACATACATACATACATACATACATACATACATACATACATACACACATACGTAGATACATACATACATCTTCTTCCAGACGCAGCGAAGTGAGTCTCTTCGCCTAGTTGCCAAGGCAGAACCGGAGTTCCGGCACCTCCAAGGGTGCGCACTTCGTTCCCCCAAACATCTGCGCAGCTGCACACGTACATACGTACATTATAGTAGATATATGTACATGCTTACATACGTACATACGTACATACCTACGTACATGCATACATACATACATACATACATACATACATACGTACATACATGCATGCATACATACATACACACATACATTGACATAAATATTCATGGATTTGCGTATTTATCTATTTGTGCTATTTTCATTTATCTTACCGGGGCCGTACTCAAGTTCACTCTTGCACTGCGCAGGAAATACGCGCGGGTCTTTGGGGCAGCTTCCACTGTGCGACTTCCTGCCTTCAAAAATGTCCACCATGTCCTTCCAACCCGAAAAGTGCGCAGGCATAACTCTTCCAGCTGGCTTGCCAACTGCTGCGAAGCCCATCTCTGCTCAATAATCCGGTCCTCCGAGATCACGGACACCACGAGGTAGAGCCTTAAACTGCAAGACTACAGCACAGATGTTCCACGGTCTCGAGGGCTATGTCACCCTGCGTATGTGTGGAAGCTGAGAGGAGAGCCATAGGTACGCAAGCAATGAAATGACTGCTGTAACGAGGTAAACATTCGTGTCCTTGATATACCTCACCTGCCATCAATGAGGATGATTGGATTCAACGTCCGTCAGCGTCTCGAAACACCCAGCTTTTTGGTCCAGTTTGAGTGGGGTTCATCCTCACACCTCATTGTCCGGAATGGCCATCACGCACACCCCCGAGATGCAGAAGAGGTTGAAGGCAGCACTGCCTGCATTCAGGTGATGTTCAGCAAGGTATTTCCGGGACTGCAAATGCTTGACGCGACTCGGCCTACTATGGTAGATGGCCCGAGATCTCCACTGTAGAAGCTGTTCCCGAGCAGCTCGATTACCTACGCCGCTGCAATGTTACACATCGCACGTGACGTGATGCCCCCGTTTAGACTTTAGACCACTGAGGGCCCTGGCTGACAAGAGGATTTCTGGTGCACTTGACCCCAGAGCCATGAGTGTCAGGTTCGCCACGGTATCGTTCCAAACCTGGCACTGCTTCGCCATCAATCTTGGATTGAAACAGCATCACCAGCCTTCACGGTGAAGTGTCTGCCCGTTGCAGCGTTCAGGACTCTCTTCTTCTTCGATGTGATCTCTTCAATGGCACCTCAGCTCTCAGAAGCTCTTGAGAATTTGGTTACGCACCAGTCCTCATGAACTGGAAAGTCAACGGCTTGAGCCCTGTGCCCATGAAGATGTCAGAAACTGTCGCGACGGCCATGAACAACCAGAGCAAGCCAAGCAGATAGAGAACCGCTCTCAATCCTTTGCGCCATTCCTGCAAGCTGATCTGATGCCTCTGCCACTCTGCCCTGAAGCACCACTCTCACTGCCTGCTCTTCGTCCCCGAAAAGCGGAAGGAGGATTCCACTTCCTCCTGGCTCACAAATCTTCACCTTGCGGACTGGAGGGCACCGTGTCACAGTTTGGGCATGTTGGCCAGAGCCAGCCTCTGTCTGGCATGCTGACATCAAAAGTCGGGCAGAGGAGGCAGGGTAACCTGTGCAGCACAGGCCTTTACCTTCTTCGACAGGACTTCAATGCAACTCCCTCGCCCGGCCTGGTGAGCCCCTGAAAACTCAACTCCCCGGCAACATGCATCCATTGCCACTACTCTGAGCCAAAATACCTCTGGAAGCTGTCGAGCTCACTGTGTGCGGTCTGGGCTGCGTGGAATTGCTCAAGCAGCGTCTGTGCCAGTGGCCCCAAGAAGAGATGGAACAGGAACGGATAGCAATCGCAACTCTCATTTGTCGCATCTGCATGCGAGAGAACAGAGAGCGCAGCTCCCGAAAGGTTCGTCTTGCAAGTCACCCAATCTAGTCGATGCACATCGTCTTAGGCTCTGAAAACCGCTGTCATCAGCGAAGCTACCCAGCAGTGCTTGGCACATACATAGATCTAACCATATCTAACCAGTCACCTTGCTATGTTACAGCTTGACCACAGCCGGGCATGGGAACGTGGAGAAAGGAACTGCTAGCCCGTTTTATGGGCAAGCCTTGCAATTGACTGCAGCGGAAGACTCTGGTTCTAGGACAGATCTAGATTCTAGCAGGTGCATTTTGCACAGCTGCAGCCGGCAAAGTCGGAACGGCCCTGGTGCAAGCAACCAAACGCTTGCACACTGCGGTGCCATCAAATGAGCACAAGTTTGCATCGCCGTGGTCCACAGACAAACCGATTCAAAAGCTCATATGTGGCTTCTTCAAAGGGCGCACATCGGCACCGATGCAACAAAGACGGATCAGTTGCTCAGCTCAGCCGAGCACACCGTCTTTGCTCCACGGGGCCTTGCGCGCACATGCAAATTTTTGGCATTGATAATGCCAGTGCCTCCAGTGGTCTTACTGATGTGGCCCGCGCCAAGAATCTCAGTCCTTAGCTGTCTTGCACAACAACGTGGCAGATATTTACTGATTCTAAAAATCACTCGGCAAAGAGCACCTGTAGATCGAGATGCATGCGGAGGCTTCGCAGCCGTCCAAACTTTGTCCTACCACATGACATGCATCGCCGACAAACACGCAAAGACACCGTGCCAGAAATCTGGGGGTTCTAGACGTGCCTCTCCATGGTCAGAAAGTCAGGAAAGAGCTGAGCAACTTGCGCCCCCACCCGGCCCCGGCACACTCAAAGAAATAACACGATGCGAACGACACTCGCGACTCAGATTTCTGAGACACCACGAAGAAACAAGTGAAAGCGAATTCGTTGGTGTCACGTTGTCATCGTCCGACTTTCGTAGTTCATGGGGATGTCGCCTTTCTGCTCGACCCACGTTCGACAGTGAAACAGAGCGTTGAGCCCTTGATGCCGCCGCCACAGGTGCGTCAAAGCTTTTGTGAAGTTTGAGCATGAAGACCGATGACTGACGTGCTTCAGGCAGCAATGGTAAGCACGGTGGTGGCACAACATGACATTCGCAAGGCGATCAAATCGCATGTTTGTGTTTGTTCACTACTGCGGACGGTTGACATCAGGACAATCTCAGAATTCTTCGGCTTGAGCGGGCCATGGCATTTTGTGTGATGTGGTTGCTGATGGAACTGTTGCCGAAGCCCAAGTTGTGCAATGCAAGATGCCCAGATCTGATCCACCACCCAGGATGTGCTGACGAGTGCCGGCCCTTCTGGCCACTTCAAAGAGAATGTGCTGTGCCTCTGAACGCCCAAGACAATTTGTGTACGGCCCACAGATGAATGCCACACATGTTCATGCGACCGGGTGAAAGCCATTCCATCGAGCCACGTGTCAGCCCTCTTATGGAGAACAGCGGAGCTGCCCAACTGCTCAGCATCTTCAGAATCGCCACGCACATACGTACATAATGTACAAGTACGGCAGAAAGAAATGACACAAAGTCCCGAATCGCGCCAAAGCAAACTGCGGGAAGCAGCGAAAACATCGGCCATCATCGGCCTAAGGATCTCTGAAATCTAGGAAACAAAAAGACCTTAGTAGAGTGAGCTGCTCGCGTGCCAGAGCACGAAGTGCAGCAATCGGGCTGATGCTGGCCAAAGCACCAGTCACAGAAAAAAAGGAGCACTCCTAACCTCCGTTGTAATGTCGTCTCAGGTGACGATTGCGCGTTCCTAAGCCATCTCAGGAAAGGAAGAAGCAGCAATCCAGTATGAGCCAAACGAGAAAGAGCAGAAGCATTGCCCCATCCAAAGCGAGCTTGCAGCTCAGATATCGGATGCACTCAAGAAGGCGGATTATTGGAGCAATGCCGAGCGCAAGGCTCCCCAGAGCCCAGGTCCAACTGCTGTGTGCTGGCTCGGTTCACTGTGTTGTGATTAGATCAAACCTTGATTTCCGAAGACCTTGCTGCAAATATTCCACAGTATCCTACGAAGTAGAAACGGTCAAAACTATGCTCTTGCTATGGATGAAGCGGGAACATGGATGTCAGAATGGTTGAGCCAGGAATCATGTATGCACTGGGAACATGACTGTCATCATGGTTGGGCTAGGAACGCTCTGCCCATGGATGCACTGAGAACATGGACGTCATCGTTGTTGGGCCATGGTGCCCAGGAACATGGATGAAGTGTGGTTGGAAGAGGGATGCCCTGGGAACATGGACGACATGACGGTTGCAGCATGAATGCGTGCATCATTCCAGATCCTACCTGCAAGCTGCTGTGCTGATCTTCATACCGTCCGAACCTGAGAAGTTGAGACCGCATCATAGCATGTGCAGCAGCTTGACACGAATTCGTAACCATAGTGTGTGACATCATCTCAGCAAAACCTGCCATAGTCATTGGCAGTACAAAACCTGAATTGCCATGTTGCCACGCGATGGCGTTCTGAGCAAAGCTGGTGCAGGGAATGGCCCATGTCCCATGCTGTAACACTCATTATGATGGCGAGCAATGTTGCAGCGATTTGTGGGTTACTCACCGATGCAGGTACAGTACACAGAGTTGGCCGAGCCCTGCTGCCTATGAGATCACATAGCTGCGTCAACCTGTTGTCATTCATTTCTCGAACTAGCCAACCCTCAGCGGTCAAGCCTGGATTGGTCAATCATACAATCATAAAACTTCCCGTCCTCGGAGGTGAGCCTCAGCATGCAACGCGAGCTTTTTCCAAGTTAAAGACAGGATGCATGAGTGCAAGGTAACGGGTCTCAACATCATCAAAATGGAAACGGTGTGTGTCTGTAGGTATGTATGCCGGTTTTACTTAAAACCGACTTTGTTACACGAGCAGACCATGCGCATGCAGTCTTGCATGACGTTCAGGAACTCGTAAACCTTGTGCACATTAAATACGGTTTGCAGCCCTACGCATGCCTGAGGCCCTGCCTCAGGACCACGGGCTGGTCCCAGAGAGCGCGAAGGAGACGTGCAGTTGGGGCAACGAAAACAGAATCCTGAAAATGGATTCAGTATAAACATCAACAGCGACGCTTTTAAAGCTGTCGTGCCTTCTTAGTGTCCACCTCCAGCTGCAGGAAGTTCAGGATACCGGGGCCACCAAGGCGCTTCAAGCACCTCAAACAACTTAGGTAGGGCCGTCCTAACATTACCGCCACGAGCAGCAACGGGCCTGGCAGCTGTCAACAGAAATTATTTGCCAAGGCACCGGTACAAAAACAAAGCGGCTCCATCGTGAAGGCTTTCGTCGAAGCTGAACACCTGAGCATCCAGCCTACGTGCTGTAGTCTATCTATGCACTGTAGTCTAGCATACTGGCACTGTGCGATTGCGCGAATAAGCCACAAATATCGTAAGTGCCTTACGTGTGTGATTGTGCGTGCTTGCCATTCCCGAACTGCACGATGGCGAACGTGAGTTTGCGTTGATTCGTTGATAACATGCCGGCACTGTGTGCAACGAAGCTGACGGCGCGAGTAGGAAGGGGAAGCAGACATGTTCCCGTGTACCTGCAGCGTGGAGTACCGCGACAAGCTGAGAACTCGACCATATCACTCTTTCCCGCAGCTTTTTTTGCGGGTAATATTTTGAGCTTGCCAGCTCCCACTGGCTCCAACCGGAATGAACCGGTCACAGCGAACCTGTGTCAATTGATTGCAACATGGACGACTGTATGGCCCTGCTTTCTGTGTGATCTTGCGATTCTGCATCGACGAGAGTAACTGACAATTCACAGCACCGTTGCTTGTGTCAGAGAGGTTGTTCCATCTTGTGTTGCTGACTCGGCACTGCTCCCAGCCAGCGGCCTAGAGCTATCCAACTGAGGCTTTCTTCTCCGATGCTTGACGCCCAAGTGAAGTGAAAAAGAGAGGGAGAGAGAGAGAGAGAGAGAGAGAGAGAGTGGTGGCAGGGAGCCCGGGGAGGACCAGTGACAGAGGGCTTCATGAGCATGCTAGCTACAGGCCACGAACTAGCAGTCATAAGTCATGCAGACAGGGTTTGCTTCGTCTCGGCTGCTCTCGACATGCTTAATTAGTTGACAAAGGCCGCGGCCAGCCGAGATTGCCACCACCTGGAAGGCAAAAAGCATGGTGGCGCAGTTGTCGCAAGGTTTCTTCACCAGCCTTTGGAGTCCAAATTGTTTATGCGTAGCTCGAAATGCTCGGAGTCCTGTGCCGCAATTTCTGTGCATGCTTTCACTGTGCAACGAGGACAAAACTAGAGTAGAGGCTGCTTTGAGTGAGCGCCAGAATTCAGTCCTGCATTCGAAGGGTAGCGGAAATGGCGACCTCCAGAACGAGAAGCGGTTTCACGCGAAGGTTAAGAAAACGCAGGAGTTGTGTCTGACATGTAGAGTAACACCAGGAATCTGCTCGCAGTAGCTGTCTGTTAGCACATGCATCTCCTTCTGTGGCACTCTTTGCTGACATTGTTGACTATGCTGTTTGTCGCTGTGGCGTCTGGGATTGTTAATTTCAATGTGAACTATGGCTGCCGACCTGTATGTGTAAGAAAGCGGCACGGTACAATGCACACCTTCTCGGCACAAGGTTCGACAAGCCGCGCAGTCAGGCGGAAGCGCTCAAAGCAGAAAATCTTGATGGTGAGTGCTGTAGTTGCTTGGCGAGTGTTTTACGAAAGCGCGGTGTTTGTCGCTGTGGCGTCTTGAAACGATGCTGCGAACACCCGGACCCCCGTGATCCAGCATGAGCTGAAACGACGCAGGTCGTTCTTCGTCCAGGTCCATATAGTTCCGCTCCATTCACAGAGACTGTGTTTGTCAGATACCGTCTTCTGCGCAGTGGGTACCACGGATTGGAGATGCAATTTAGCGCTATGCTCATGGTACACGTACCTGCAGTGCCTGCGGGTGTCAAGCAGATTCAAGCAGTTGACTGACTGGATGAACAAGTGGCTTGCGAGTACGTGGTTAGGGGTTGCTTGTCTTTTGAGGTCTTCTTCCAATCTGTTGCGCATGACTCCTGAAGGGCCTAGCCGGTACCGCTATGCATGCATGCGAAGTTTCAGTGCCACGTCGGTTTAGGACCTGACCGTGTAGTTCGGTGTTCATGTTTACAGACACGTGCCGTTCAGTGCAGTACAGCTGTCACGACTTCGTGTATGTCATTCAGTGCAGTGAGGCTGTGGTGACTTGTGCACATGCAGCTTTCCGTGCGGCGGCTGCAGTGAATCATTGCAAGCGTTTCGTTCAGCGCAGTGTGGCCTGGTCTTTCAGTATAATGTTTCACGACTCGATTACACGTGTCACTAAATTCGTGTTGGGGGGGTGACGATTTGCAGACGCATGTGATTCAATGAAGCGCAGCTGTACTGCCTCGCTTACACATGTCATTCAGAGCAATGCTGCTTACATACACGTTTATTGCAGGCGGTGGCTGTGACAAATTGCAAAGCCACTAAACACACATCTGTGCAATGCTGCGTGCTTGGAAATCCAGCACTGCTGTTGTGACATGCATCCACATGTTGTTCAGTGGCACACATGAGGACAGTGTTCCTTGCTGCTCTTCGCTGGTCCATCTTGTGGTTTTCATGCTGAAACCACGCATGCTTGCGGCACTGCTCCATCTTTCCCTTAGTCAGGATGGCAAGCGAAATTGACATTGAACGCGCTCTCCACTGTGCTAGTGTATCCCACGCCGTTCAACGCCCGTTAGATTTAGATGCTCGAGCTTCAATTCTCTTGTTGCATCTTCGGCCACTGGCCTGGTATCTTCGACCACTGGCCCAAACCAAAGAAAACTGACCTGTGTTTTGTCGTCTTTCCGGATTTAAGTGTGGCAACGGGCAACGCCGGCAGGGTGGAGTAACACCAGTTGCTTGACCACCTGCGGCTGCCTGCCCGACCTGAATGGTCTCTGCCACTGACAAAGTTAGTCTTCGCCATGTGCCGCTTTGATGCGGCGGAATCCCCAGCATGAACCCAGCTTGAGGGCCGGAATGCCCGGACCTCGTTCGCATTCCACAGGGTCATGTACTCGTTCTGGTAGACAGATCCACCCTGAAGCGGAGCTCAAGGACGGACGCTCTTCTGGAGAATGCTGGAGCGCTGCAAGCGGTCCTTCAGAAAGGACCTGTTCTCTTTTACTTGGGCCTCACATCCCGTCTCCGGCCACTTGCAAGGCACCATGCCCACATGCAAATAGTCGAAAGTTCAAATGATGCTGAATGGTCACACGGCCTCTTCTGCATTTCGCGGCATAGCCTGCAGATCACTCGACAACGGACAGTCTATGGGCACGGCTGGTCTGGTTCCCGGTTATGTTCCCTGAGAACTGCAAAACCCAGCGCTCAAACACAGCCCGACACCTGTTGAGGTTTGCTCTCGCGCTTGGCATGTCAGAGCAAGCCCGGACAACCTTGCAAAGCCGACACACCTGACTTAAGGCCGACAAAGGCAGAAACTTTAACTTGGCCAGACTAGGAAAGGCCAAGAATACAGAGGAAACAAGATGCCTACAAGTTGCTGGAACTACTTCTTCAGTGACGGGAGAGGAGTCGTTTCTGCAAAGGCCGCTAGATGCTTGTTCTCCTTGTGCTTTCCTTTTTTGGGGTTACCTCAGCTAGAGGTTCTGCTCTTGCGTCATCTTGCGTCGCCACCGCTTCTCTCACCCTCTTCGCTTGCACAGGGAGGTAGTACCTCGCGTGGCACTTGGTGTCTTGTCACGATGTGTCGAAAGCTTCTATCGCCGCACAGAATTCTCGGAAGGCTCAGGCGTTATAAGTGTATGGGAGCGGGAATCCAATCAAGTTTGACAGAGAAACTGAGTTCGCCTGCGCTGTCATGAAACCCTAAGCGCGCTGAACTTCGCATGGCAAAGCGGGTTCTTCAATGCAAGGAACATTCATTAACAGTAACAACCTTACCCTCCTACTACAAACACGACGATGCTTGTGCCTGTCATCAACGAGCTGGAAACGAAGCCCTGCGAACGTGAAACAGTCATAGGCAATTCTGCTGTCTGCTGAGGGGCGGGGTGTGCCTCATGTGCCTCAAGGCGGGGGTGCGGGGCCGAGCCCCCCGCCTTGCCTTCCGGATCAGGGACATTCTCAGGAGCAAGGGCCCCTAAACTCTCCAGCTTCAAAGGAGCTAGCTTTCGTGACTTGCGACTTGTTCCCTTCAGACCTGTCGCGTGTTCCAAGCTTTGCTTCGCCTTAGTCTTCATGCTGGATTCGCAGCTTACTGTTTCGGATGTTTCGGCTGCGGCTCCACTCCTGACGTTTGTTGGCTTCCGGTTTGGGCGTTGGAGTTCTATGTTATTCGGCTCCTAGTTCACTCCCTCAGGCCGTCGGTCTTCGGTTTGATGTGGCTTCGTCAGGTTGGCTTCACTCCTTGGGGTTCTCGGCCGGCTTCCGGATTGGGGTTGGGGATTCGCTTCACTGTTGGTTTTCGGCCCCGGCACAATGGAGGCCACATTCAGGGACAGATAGGGCGTAAACTCTTCCACAAAGCCACCCCGGACTCAGACTCAGCACAGCTTCACATACGCACGGAGTGCTGCTTCTTCTCCAGCACAGATCACGTGGCGTACGAGACTGCTCAGGAGCTGATGTATATCCCACTGAAACGCATCAGATCCCCGGTGTCAAGTATCGAGAATTCCATGTGGCACGGTGGCTGCTTTCCCAGAAAGACAAGGGCCTGTCCGCCCAGACGCCGCTCGAGACCCAAAAGCACCTGTGTAGCTGAATGCATCTTTTTGCTGACCTGCTTTCCCTACATCTTCCATTCCAGCCAAGTCCGGGTCCTAGTGCGGCTGAAACACCGCAACGGTGAGCAAGATCACACTCCAAAAGCGGCGCTTCACGGCCCACTTCTTGGCCCGCGCCGGAAGAGCCTGAAGCAGGGCACGCGTTCGGAATCCTACGACGTGTTCGAAGCATGGAAAGCCACGAGCTGCTAAACCTTCTGCACCTCCAGTTGCACTGGTGCCATCGTGTCCAGAGCGACGACACTCAGCGTACGCACGAAGCCTGCACTTACGTCAGTTTGCGACCATCCTTCGTTACACAGATCTGGCTCTGTGGCCGACACGCAATCAATGAAGCAAACGAGGCTCAGCGGCTCAACACTGCCATCTTCCGCCGATCTACTTGAACAGAAACGCTAAATTGCTGAGAAAAATCTGACCGCTTTCGGCCCTGTCACATGTTCCAAAGCCATGCCTCTCTCCGGACTGGAACACGCGTCATCTTCACTCCAAAGTTCAGCAGGAACACTCCTAGCTAGGCAGGGCAAGACATGAGCAGCTTGAAATGAACGAATGCTCGAAGGAATCATCCTCGAAGTGAGCAAGGTGGTTGGCCCATTGCCCGACTTGCCGCGCACCCAAGACATCCTACAGCCGGCTTCCAAAGCCTTCGGCCAGGGAAAGGGCATGCGGGCGCTCTGCTGCCATGTCCACATGCGAAAGCCTTCGATTCTGATCTGGCCTGGTTGGTCAAGGGGAGCACGCTATGTCGGGCTAAACGGCGGCAGCGGCAGGCAACGGCTAAACAGACCAACGCAATGCGGCACGAGGGCATCAACTGATCCTGGAAAAGACTGCTTAGGCCAGTCAGTTGATAGTCCCGGTAGGCATTTCACGTGTATGCCGTATGGCTTTGGTGCATGCGAAGGCCACAATACAAATGACCCTGCAAATGGTGCTTGGAGTTGCAGCATCTTCTGCGTGCAGCATCTTCTGCAATTAAAAGCAGCCTCCTTTTGGTTCGACAGGCCTTCGCTCCTCGCAGCAATCACCTTGACAGACTCAGCGGCTTCAGTCACGGACCTGCAGAGAACACAGGGACCATTGAACGTCAAAACTCCCAAGGGCGAGTCCCAGCCTTCCACGGAGGCTCTCCGGACTTTGATCTTGCTCCGCTCTTGCTGAATTAAGGATGTCGCTGCAGAGTCCGCAGCCTGCGAGTAAGCCAACAAAAGGGGAGCTGTGAGAAAAAGAAGGCCAACCAACTCGTCTCCAAATGCGGAAGTCGGTCACGAACATGCAGCCTGGTCTGTCGTCGCTTCGTCTGCCACGACGTCTCGGACCGACCCGTGGCATTCATCGCCCTTTCAGGATCAATGCACCAAAAGCGGCTTATATTGTCTGATTGGAGACCGCCGCACATCAACTCAGAGTGTACAAGCTAGTTGCATCACGGGGCCTTTCGCCACGACCCGCGGGTTACTTGAAAGAGTGATAGAGCAGCCACACCGTCCTGCCAGAGCAGGACTGGAGTTGCTGCTAATAGCTAGTAGTGCCTTTATCTTGTGTGCTGCTTGCTCCTTTGCTGCATGCGACGGCTTAGACGATGCTGCAAGCTGTGCGAATACCAAGCCCGGTCAAGTAGGGAGAGGTTGTAGATGTCATGCAATCTGTCAAGATAGACAACGTTATACTTAAACATGTCGCAGCGTCCGCTTGAGACAGCAATTCTTGGGAGGGAGTGACGGGTGCGGGGAGTACAGGAACCCGATTTGGCAGTAACGGAAACCATCTCGGCAGGTCGTAACCGGAACGGCGGATAGTAGAAACAGGAACCGCCTGGGCACTGTAACAGGAGCTGTCCTGGGAAACCCGGTAACCGAAACCAGGCTGGAAGTCTTGTGAGGGGGACCGGTCTTTCGGTCCCCCTCTTTGACACCACTACAAGCCTTACACTGACGGCTATGTTTCGTTCAGTAGCAGTAGCTCCCCTGTGGTTCCTGTTACAGGGGCTGGCTGGGGCTGTTACGGGAACCCGTGGTTTCTGTTCTGGAAACCCTGATGGTTCCTGTTACGGGTTCCCGTCACGGACAACCTGTTCCCGTTACAGCATTCTCTCATGGAGTGACGGAAGCCAACGTAATCCTAAACCCTAAACTCCCAAACCCCAGGCCCTAACCCCCAAACCTGAAAACCTGAACCCTGCAAACTCCAGGCTGGTGGTAGGATTTGTGCGATGCTGCACTTTCCAAACCCAGAGCCCTAAAATTCCGATATCGGAGTGTCGATACTAGCTTTGTAAGCCGAAGCTGCCTGACATGCTTGAATGTATCTCCATGTGCTGCAGTCCTCAATACCATCAGCTACCGCTGCAGACATAGCAGGATCGACGGCCTTCTTTACCTGAAGTAGACAAGATCTCCAATGTGTGCATCATGGCTCCAGCATGCAAACTCATCAAATCTGGGACGCGGACTCTTCGAGCGCCGGCTGGTGCTGCGCAGTGCTCGTCAACCTCAAGCAGGTGTGGCGAGCTGCCATCTCTACTAGGCATCTCAGAACATCGCGAGAGGTTCAGACTTCCAAGGGTCAGATGCTTCGCTTCGCTGGCAGTTGTTGGTTCTTCTCTCAGGCCGTGGATTCAGTCCGAGTGTCCGCTGATATGAGCTCAGCAGGCTAAGTGGCTTCAAACCCTTTCATGGCTGCGATTCCGGCAAGATTGCGCTTGTTGCACGCGAATTTCATGCGATCAGCACATAGGAAAGGTGTCAAGTGTCAAGTAGGGCCACGGCATTAAGTCGGCATTGGTTGCCTCACCGCAGGTAAAAGCCCAAAAACAAACCAGTCGTGCTCGAATTCAACTGCAGCCCACAGAAACGATGTGTGCAACCTGCTGCCAGAGGGCCCTGTATCAAGGACAATCCTGCTCCACCTTCAAAGTCCGCCAAAGCCTGAGGAGCGCTGCCAGCAACACACGAGCCCTTCTGCTTGGCCTACCTCACAAGCAACAGCTCGAATCAGCATCACCTTACAGCCGAACCGGTGTATATTCTGCGCACTTGGAGGCACACATCCGTCGCCGACAGTTGTGTGGCAAGCTTCGAACCCTGGGGAAAAGGCGCTGGAAGGGATGCCAACCTTCATCCACAAAAAACCCACCTTGGTCTTGACGATCTTCCTCGCATGCCCCTGTATGAGAGACAGCGCGGCATCCTGCTCGCACTTTCAACCCCTCCCCGGATCGTGCAGCGGCAGCGGTCAGTTGTTTCGTTCCGGCTCTTTTGGTCTTGACCGTTTCGCTCCGCTACCCGTTCGAACATGCAGCAGCTGATCTGCTTGAACAACCCTGTCGTAAAGGAGAGGGGTCCATTCATGGCACCACGACAAACAGAATCCCATACCAAGAAAGGGGGCAGTGTCGAAGCATCGCTAATTTGGAGCCGATAGATGCTGCTGGCCAGTCCAGCGACTCTCGCTACATGAGAAAGATCGAGGGACTGCCAAGATACAGTCCATGGAATCCCCACAACAAAATCCGGGTGCTCGGTTTCCGTCCGGGACATCGAAGAGTTCTCATGAAGAGACACACCAGTAGAGAAGATCCCAACTCAGACACTTCAGAAGTGATGTCCATTCTGCTGCGTGCAATCCTCCAGTGAGGCATCGGAAGCAGCCGCAACATGGGCCGTGGTAAGGGCGGCAAGCAGTTTCAGCAGCATTCTGCCGGGTATTTCGTCACCTGGAAGCTGAACTTCTGCAGTGCAAGACACTACCTCCTCACGGCTGGCAAGTTCTGAGCCCGTTGCCAGGAAATGTGAAGTGCACGAAGGGTCGTGGTGCCTGTGGGCCTGGGCTCCACGAAGCCATCCCACAATCACAATGTGTGCGCTGGGTCGCTCGCAAAGCCACAGGCGTGGGTGGAGGTTTTCCCGAACCCACGAACCAGCTTATGGCAGCACCAGAACGAAGTCACAGAGCAGCACTGGAGGAATTGGGCTGCTCTACAGGACCAGAGGGATACAGTGAAAGTCAAAGCGTGAAGCAAGCTGCTTTATTGCTGGTAGTCGGTGCTTGAATGGCACATGTGTGGCCAAGTCGTACCGAATCCTCCAGAGTCTCGCGGCCTGATCCAGGCTCAGTCGTCGTCATCAAAGTCTCCTGTCATCATCGCCGTCATCGCACTTGCATAGGCGGAGCCAGTCTTCTGTCGCTTCGCCTAGCACGACGGATGCGACATTCAAAACAGCCATCCTCGCAACGTTCGTAGGCAGACCAACCCAGCACGCCCAGCACGCCTCGCCTGCTCTCCCCCCAAATCACCATACAGGTCGTCCTGGGAATGTAAGCAGCATAAACAAAAGCTTCCATCTCTCTCACACACACAGCTGCCTTTCGTCGCTGGGGCTGTGCATCCAGCAAGATGCAACATGCTGAGCCTATTGCATCCACGGGCGGCTTCTGTGTCGAAGGCCTTGATCTCGATGGAATGTTGCTTCAGTTGCTCACCCTATGCAAGAACAGCAAACTTGCATGCAGGTGCTTACTTCTCGAGCTTTCGCACTCGCCGCTTTGCACTTGCCAGAACACATGGTCTTAGCCAAGCTCGCCGGTGTCATTGGCGTCTGGACCGGAAGGGGTGTCAACCTCACGAGGCAATGCATGCAGCTCTGTCGCTGATGAGGATCGGGGGGATTGTAACGGGCTGCTGCGAATGGCACAGGCTACTGGACATGTTGGTCGACGAAGCCCATGCATGTGGACATGATTGGAGATGATGGTTTCACTACCTCCTCCGTGCACATGGTGTGAGAGTCTAGGGTCGGGCCGATGCGACACCGTGCAAACCGTGGTTCTGTCTTTTGAGCTTTGCAACCGCCTGGGCGTCTCGCCGTTTGTCGTGGGAGACTTCCTCTTCTCTCCGTGCATGTATGCATAACTCTCTTCTTGTTCCTCTTCTGCTTGTTTGCATTCTTTTCGTGCTGTTCTGCAATGCGTGAAATCGCCGCATCCGTCGGCGTGCTGGTCTGCACCCCAGAAGACCTGGTGAACAGCTGTGTTGGCTTTGCAACTGGTGCACACCGATGCACATCGAATTTGCAGGTTGAAACCGTTTGCCTGAAGCGCACATGCATAGGAAGTGTACATCAAGATGCACTGTTGTTCGCAATGTTTCACGGCAAGAACAGAGGCGATTTTCAAGAAAGCATGGTGCAGCAGACCATCTTGTGCGGATGGCGCACATTGCAACGCGAAAGCAGGTGAAACTACCCGGAACCCCATCGATAGGTTTGAGCGACAGCGACGGACGAAGTGATAGCAAAGCCGTCGTACTGACATGCCACGAGTACGCAAATATGGCGAAGCTACCAGTGGCGTGCAATATCGTGCAATTATGTTTATATGTTACTTTGTTAACTGTTCTCACAGCTGGGAACGCCAGAATGGCCACAGCGGCAAGCAGCAGCAGAGTCTAGCTGGGGCCCAGTGGGCCAGGAGATACGAATCTGTGCCACGTCTTTGAGACGCTTCATGTCGCCACACAACGGGACCACGTCACAACCGACATAGAAAATCAACAGCGCGCGGGCACACACGAAACCATCTGATGCAGGCCATGGCCGTGACCCTGATGGCCGATATCATTTCGCGCTAGGAGCTTGTAGCTTTGGGAAGGCTTGAAGGCTGGGGGCATAGTGAGGGTGAAGGGCCAGGCTGGCTAGAGACATGCAAGTCGGTCAGAACCTACAGAATATTGCAAGATGCTACAAGGTTTTTGCGCTCACGCGTGCCCAGACTGCGTAACTGTACCATGGGTCTGCCAATCTGCATCGTGCGGTGGCGGGGGCTGTTGTCTGCTGTGGCCAACCCGATTGCACTCTCCAAAATGATGCAGGCTCTGGAAGGCACGGAAGCGAAGAGGACAAGTCGGACTCCCGAAGATAATCCAAAAAGCTGGACCATGTGATTGAAAGCGCATCGCGCCGGGTCCGTCGCAATCACCATGCAGTACAGGTGACCGGCGCAGGGGACGCCCTTAGCATCCCGGCCCGCCGCCCGCCAGCGAGCGACGACCCTCAATTTTTTGATATGCCAACATCGTGAAACAGACGGGTGGAGCGGGTGCTGAAAATCGTCGTGTGACGCAAAGCCGGCAATAGCTGCCATTGGTTGACGGACATGTCCCCGCGTGCATTACACGACAAGTCCGACAGCCGACGCAACTCCCAAACGCTACGACGAACGGACCTTTCTTTCTGGATGGTAAGATCGCACATCGCGCCGGCTCCCTGTTGGCCCCGGGTACCTCCCGCGGACGAAGGCCGAGCGAGATAGCCAGCGGCGCCATGGCCCAAGAACGCAAGGCTCGAGGGTCAAGAACCAGCCAGTGTTTCCGAGCTTGTCCAGAAGGTCGCTCCCTCCGTAGGCATAATCGCCACCTGGCCGGCTCGACTTTTGACAACCGAAGGGCGGGGAAGGGGCGGCCGGCCTGCCTCGATTCCTGCAGCCGCTGCTGGCATAAGACTGTTCAGAACGTGCCACCACCCAGGTATCGGCGACATGGTGCCCAGCCTCATAGCCAGTAAAGTAAAAAGCGAAGTCCCCATCCGCCTGCACGTGGTGCTTCCTGCGCCACTCACTGACGCGGCTGGCGGCTATGGTTTGCAGCGAGGTCTCCCGCGGCGTAGACCCCCGACATGGTGAATCGCACCACGAGGAGCAAGGCTAACTTTGCGAGCCACGCGTGTGCGCAACATAAGGCTCCAAGTCCTGAAGCGAATCAACAAGTGAAGCGGACCTACCCTGAACAACCCCCGTCTGCAAACTCGCCCGGAAGCGCCGGGAAGGTGCCCAGGGTGTCCACCATGGATCGCCCAGGCCTCCTAGAATGCAGAACCTTTTAACAAGGTGGGTACCTCCCCCTATCCGTGCCGCCAGCCTAGGCCATCTCGCCCTCGGAGCCCGAACTTGATGCATCTCGGTTGCCATAGCCAGCCGGATATTGCAGGTGGTGCACGGTGTTGTCACGTGCCGCAGCACACATAGGCATGAGGCATGACCACCTGCGGTCACGTGTGGCAACCCACTCCATCCACAGCCTCTGCTTCAAAAACGATAGCCGGGCTGCGCCACCTGAGTTCTCCGTGCTGCCACACACGCCCTCATGCTCGTATATGGTCCTTAACAAGGACGCCGGCGCCGTGTCCTCCAAATTCAGTCCCGATCGGGTCGCTGCATCCATGCGGTCCCTGTTGCCTGCCAAGGCTCGACGAGCCTCCATGGGATCCGTGCCCGTAGCTGGCACCACCAAGGTCCTGGACCATGGTCCCAGCAATGGCAACTGAAATCTTCCATGGCCCTGGGTGCACCGAAGGCAGGTGCTGCCCAGGCAATTGTACCTCCGAAGACGAATGCATCCTTGGCCGAAGGCAAATTCATGCAAAGGCATGTCCCGCACGGGGAGGTGGGTGACTTCGAAGACCGAGGACCAAAGAGCCCAAAACTCCTCAACCCGTCCTTCCTCGTTGAGCGCCCACATATACCGCATAAAGTCATAAAGTCCAGCAAATTCTCTGCCGAGAGAATCGGCCTGGAACTGTTCACAACATATGTGTCAGGGACAAAGGGCGAGGAATCCATGCCTAGAACGAGGTACCTCCTCAGCTAAGTGGGGTCCCTCCCCACAAGTCAAAACTCGACTCAAAGCCAGTTTGGGTCAACACCTTGAACCAAAATGCCGCACACAATCACACTTTCCCAGTGGACATGCAGTGAAGACGCTCACCCGGTGCCTGCCTCACACAGCAGTTTTTCAAAAGGGGCCGGCTGGAAGGAACCAGCCAGCAAGAGCAGAGTGCTTGTGAAGCTGTTTACAAAAAGTCCTTCTTTATAGCGAGATGCACCAAGCTCGTCAAAGAAGTACCGGACTTGTCGACATGGGGCAGCGGGCGACGAAAAGAGCACTCTAACACTCTAACGACTCCAACAGAACTCCACGATGATGCTTGGCTGCTTTCATCCTGGGCAGCCGTGCGTGGAGGCCAGCCTGCACAAGAAACGGATCGTGGAGAACAGAGAGAAAGCGAGAGAGCGAGAGAGGGAGAGAGAGAGAGAGAGAAAGAGGGAAAGAGAGAGAGAGCGAGAGCGAGAGAGAGAGAGCGAGAGAGAGAGAGAGAGAGAGAGAGAGAGAGAGCGAGAGCGAGAGTGAGAGACAGAGAGCGAGAGACAGCAAGAAGTTCAGAGACAGAGAGAGAAAGCAAAAAAAACAATAAAAAACAACAACTAATTCGACTGTGACAGAGAAGAGGGGCATGCCTTGGATCTGCCTCATTTCTCGGCTTTGGCAACTTGACCTTCGTCAAACTTAGACACGTTCATTGTGATCATCAAGACTGTCCATCCCGCCAGCCTCCGGGAAGTCCTCAGCTCACACAGCCGACCCGCAATTGAGGCACAGTAGAAATCCGATCCCAACGAAATCGCCGAATCAAGGCTCGGGACTCGGGCACAAGTACAGGAGAGGTGGCAAGCAGATATGTTGCACAATGTTGCGCACTTGCGCAACCCCTTAGCAGTGGCCGTCCTCGTTGATGACTGGCGGTGGCGTTTCGGGAACGTCGGACGCGAGACTGGTACGCTCCAGGCCTGTGCACACAGGGATCTTCCCAGGTTTGCGAGATGCGACAAGCCGTTTGCCTGGGTCAGGAAGGGCAGGCGCCGCAGGAGCCGCAGGAGCCGTAGGAGCCGTAGGAGCCACGGGAGCCGGGTCCGCAGCGACTGCCCTCACAGATGCTGTGCAAGGGCGAATGGATTCCATGTGTCCAGTGGAAGGTGACTTACAGGTGTCATGTGCTTTCCTTTCTGTGCTCCCCAACAGGATACCGGCACAACATGATACACATTATCGGGCAAGCAAGCCTTACTGACCGGATCCATCCCAGTTTCAGAGGCAGCAAATTCTTCTCTTCTTTGCGGAGAACCTCTCGGCACCATGAACCTGCAGATAGCTTTCTTCCACTGGTGCCGAATCCCGCCCTCATAATTTGGCACGATCTCGTGCCTAAGCACGGCTGGGCGACGTGCATTCGCCAGGAGACAAAAGCCTATCTTCCCGCCCTGTGGTTTTCTTCCTGAAAAGGTCCATGTTCGCAAACTCGGACTGCGAGAGATTGGAACAGCGGATCGACTGCATTGGCGGGTGTACGCCGAATCAGGGGAACAGACTCAGAGAACAGAAGGGCCGAATCAGAGAACAAAAGCGTCGAATCAGAGAACGGGAGGGCCGAATCAGAGGAAGGACTCAGAGAATGATTGTTCTCTGATGCTGGCCGTTCTCTGATTCGACGCTTTTGTTCTCTGATTCGACCCTCCCGTTCCCTGATTCGACCCTCCGTTCTCTGATTCGACGTTTTTGCTTCATTGGCCTGCACTGCACTAAGCACAGGAGCATTTCGACTTCCTCGAACTCCGCTTCAGTTCATGTGGGATCAACAGCCTTGTTGTCATGCGCTCTGCTCCTCTCCTGCGGCCTGCCTCTCTCATGCTCGGATTACCATGAAAAACTCTCCTACGTTTTCGGATTCATCCCCTGATGACTGCAGCCCACAAGCGACAAGACAAAACACGTCCTATGTCAGCTACGCCAGGAGAAGAGGCATAGCTACGGTCTAAGGTAAAGGGCTTGCAGTGTTCTGCCACTTGACCATTCCATGCCTTCGGCACTGTCCATCAAACCATACATACGTTCGTGTACGCAGCTTCTGATTGCGATCTCCCTGATACCCCTCTGCAGGCTCGATCTCAAAAATGCATCGCAGCTTTCCACATTGTTGTTGCATTCATCGCTCCTTCTGCCGTCTAACCTCTGCCCGGAGGTGCTAGAGAATGGCAGGCCACACATGGGCAACTTGCTGCTGAGTGAACGAATGATGCTCAATCTTGCCTTGCTGACAGGCTGTCGGGTTGCTGTCGATGCCGATCAGCTCTAGCTTTCCTCTCCTGCCCGGAGGTCATCTTCTACACGACTAATTCGAAAGACGAGTGAGAAGTATCCCGCAAGTGTCCCGTCCCACTCTCCTCAGCACGCTCTCGAAGCCGCTTCCTTTCCTCTTTGCGCTCCTCAAGACACTGTCCTGCCCTCGTGCCCTTGCACTTGCTGCACAACTTGTACATCGAAGTCGGTGCAGCTCCTGCAGCTCATGCCTGATGTATTGGTGATAACGCATGGACATCTGGTTCAGAAAAGCCTGGCATCTGGGCAGCTTAAGCCCTAAGTGGCAGCAGCAGCATGAAAGATGCCGATGTTGCTGGCCTTCTGGTCCTGTGGACATATAAAGACCTGGCAATAGTTCTCGGCAATTTATGTAGATTGGCGTGCAATTTGCAGAATCACGGAAGTGTCCGCATCGACAACCACTAGTTACTAGAGGCCTTGTCATCTTGGTGCAGGTACTGGAGACTTTCGCAGTGGAAACGCTGCCCGAAGGCTTCGTAGCTTCCTCGCGCCATGGCCTGGGCTAGTGCAGCGCGGGCTGACACTAAGCCTGCAAAGACTTGTGACAACCTGCGAGATCTTACTACCTACCAGTATCCGCTGCAAAAATGCTTTTGATTGGGCTGTCATCGCCAAGGCACCTCCTTGCCTGCATCGAGGCACAGCAGGTGAAAGCCTGGCAATGTCCGCACCTGAGAGCGCGAACATGTGGAGCCGAGAAAAGCTCGGCATAGCCAGGGCACGCGATGTGTTCGCTTGATGGGCAGGGCTTTGACCTCGTCGCATGTGGCTTCCAAAAGTGTTGATAAGAGATTCCCCAAATTGGGGACCAAGTGGCTGGGCAGAAGTGCGGCTCGCTTCCTGCCTCCGTCTCCAGGCCACCGACAAGCGCCTCGAAAAGGCAAAAAAGCAAAGGCAAAGACCTTTGCATTCGCCACCTAAAGCCTCTTCCATCCTATATGCATGGCCTCCATCGTCATGGTAGGTTGCACCGTCGCCATGGCTTTATCTGCTCCAATTCTCGATTCGGATGCCTCTAAGCAACAGTAGGCCATTTGTGGCTAATTGTAGACTGCAAGCTGCGGACTAGTGACTGGTGGTTTAAGGAGGTTCAAGATGACGGGGTTCAAGTTGGTGCATGGTCGAGGGCTGTATGGGCTCCCAGCTTCTCTTGACCGAACGTACGCTACATCTGTAGCTCGAGTTCGCGGGGCCAAAGTGAAAGACAAGTGCAGTGAGCTCAGTTTCCGAGGAATCCAAAACATGATTGCTTGTCGATGCTCTGCTAGCCGTGTCTTCGGTTCATGCTTGGTGCTTGCACATGCCCCGACAACAGGCAGGCACCGTCACTCACATTGTGATTGATCTCGTGGACTTGCGAATCCGCAAGCAAGCACCCGGACCGTGACACACTACTACTTTGCACCTCCTTACATATCACATGTAGCACATAACATCCTGAAACACTTCGTGAAACAACCCAAATAAATCATGCTTCAGAAGAAACTGCTCCAAGGCCAGACAGTTCGCTGGCAATATGCCGGCATGAATCTGGCTGATGTTTGCTCTGCCTTGGCAGTGTCGTTGCAACAGTCTTTCATATCGCAAAGCTTCACGTGTCACGAAGCAACACGAGTGCGATGTCCAAACACATAGGAGGTTTAGGCATGCGTTGCCAAGCGACCCGTGCGAACTTCTGTCAAAGTGAAACCGCAACTGCAGCATTACCTGCCTCCTGTGGGACGTGATACATGCACAGCATCGCAACGTACGATTTTCTAGAACCAAGCAGGCAGCAAGCAAAAAACCAGAGAAGTCAACAAGCCACGGAACGAAGAAAGAACCTAACGCCCGCTTCTTCAATGGAGCTTCTGGTGTACAAACGCCTGACCTTGCATGTGTGCACGGGGCTAGTCCTTTTTGACAGACGGGCCATCTGGCTGCAGTTGGAGTACGCTTGGGAGCTTCTCGCTGTTTGCACGCCAATAAAACTGAATCACCACTATACATCACAGTGAGGCACTGCCGCAGGCTGGTGCTGCTACACACTGGACGACGCTTTCGTCTGAGGGAGGCCCCAGCCACAGCAGCGCTTCACATTTTCCGCTTGAACTTGAATCTCGGAGGCGGAGGAGGGCTGTTGTAGGGCCACCAGTCCGCGACCTGGCAGAGCCAAGCGGGCGACTTGGCTGGAGGATGCTGGATATGCTGCCTGCTTCGCGCAGACGATCGGCTGCATCTCTTGCCGACTCGTAGGGCACCGCCATGCCTCTTCTTTTGCAGAAGAGGCCACAGGAGTTCAAGTTCCAAGTGCTCAGCTCTCCCGGCCTGCGCCCGCCATTCCTCGCTGCAAGCGAATGCAACATCCTTAAGCATCCACTTTCAGCTGGGGTCCCGACTCCTCTACGGGAGTGCGTATCGTTGTGATTCCTCAGCTTTCGCCGTTCCGCGGAAATTCGAATTGATCAACGTCTGTAAGATGCGGTCGACATCCATGGCTGCCCAAGTGAAGATTTGCCGTTGGTAGTAAAAGTCTGCCCACCTTGGTCAAGGCTCAAGAGCGGCCTAGTTTGCACGGAACTAAAAGGACAAGAAGTGACTACAAGCTTCCCAAGCTTGCGACGTGGTCGGAAACAGAGTGCGGTTTTCGCCTGCAATTCTGGGAGTCCTCTCTGGTACCCGTTAAGAGAGCTCGCACAAGCCTCCATTGCCACAGGCAAGTCCATGCCGGCCATTACCGACGGAGCCTCGGGAAAATGAATGGCTTCAAGCTTTTGGGACTTGCATGACCTCTTCAACGGATTGAGCTTCAGATGTCACTGAGGAGTTGTCCCAGGGTTTTTGCTGTTGCCTCCATGGAACGCTCCTAGGAGTCGTGCGGAGGAGCTTGAGGGACCAACAGCTTGAATCCCGCACTTCGGCGAAGGCGTGGCCTCTTCGAGGAGCTCGACAGCTTTGTCAAGCGAGCTTGGCTTGTTGCCGACGCTGCGCTGTTTCCTGGCCCAGACGCGGTCGCTGCATCGCTGCAAGGCCTATGGCTCAGCTCAATTCTCGCATTCGTTCAGCCAGACCCTGCCTTGACTCATGGGAGTGGATGTTTCCTGCCACATGACCAGACAGGGGCGAACCACTCTGCGATGTTACACATGTCAGGCAAGACCCTCGCAGTTCGCTGCTCACTGACCTGGTTCACCTCGGCCAGATCGCATGAACTTTTGACTTCACCAAGTGCAATGCCACATCTAAAGGGGGACTCAGAAGTCCAGACCAAGACTTGCGACTCAGCCTTTTGCACTGATGGATCGGTGATACAGCCCTGTGCTCACACCTCCAGGAAACATCAGCTCACCGCTCTTTTGTAATACCCTGTGCCCTCGTTCGATCTTCAGCCTGATGGAGCCGATGAAAACGGGATGGCCGTGGAGTTTGCAGACTTTGCCTTGAGGTGTGCAGGTATGCATGCTACTGGCGCCATCTTGCGCCGGTGATGAAACGACCTACAAGTTTGTCAGTTCGCGTCCTCCTGCTTGCTGGCCACAACATAGGCCCACTCCTCTGCGGTTGGTGTCTGGCTTGGTGCTGTTGGCTTCACGGCCGAGGTGTGCCTCATCAGTGATGCTCAGATCTTTGTACCTCAGCCGGTGAACCGAAACGTTCCAGAAGTGGAAACAAAGTCGAGCATTGGCTTCCCGCGTTGCATAGTCATTGACCTTGCTAGCCCGAAGGACGATGCTCCAACACATGCTCGGTTCGGTCACTGTGTCCCCTGCACTGCCACTCCAAGGATCTGCATTTGTGAAATGGAGAAAGAGCAGCGTTGCCTGCAAAGATCCCACACAAGTGCCTAACAGCACTCTTGCTCCGACTCCGACCTCCTTTTCGCTCATCATTTCGAGCTTGGAAGCGCAGATCTGCACGAAGGCTCTGCGAGATATCCTGCAAGTCGCTCGACACAACGGGCCTCAAGTCGCCTGAGTGATCTGCTGCCCTCCCTATCTGACACAGAGCCAGCTCAGCTGAAATTCACCGGCTGCATCAGGCGCAATTCATCGCACGGTATGCTTCCAAAGCTAGCTATTGCTGGGTTAGCTTTGCAAAAACTTCTAAGACTACCATGGTTTTTTGTGTTCCCACTGTTGATCACTTCTTCTGCTATGCCACACACTGCGGCACGCCCCCCAGTGCATGGGCACCCAGCAGTACTTGCGTGACTACAGATCACTAGAGCAGCTGTGTCTGCTTGGCACGCTGGTCAGCAGGTCAAAGGCGGAGCGTTGCAGTGCAGATAGTGCAGCACCGACTCCGTGAGGTGCTAAAGCGGCCCTCAAAACCTGTAATGATGCTGACCGTGCTGGGAGGCTCGGCATCATTGTGCCATTTGATGCCGTTTGCTTCACTGTCTTTGCTCACTGGTGGTTTGACAAAAACCACGCTATCCCGAAAGAGGACCTGAACCCTTGACTGCGCCAGGAAGCGACCCGTAACCATAAACCCTGGCCCATTCATCAGCCCGAATCCTGGAACCGGCTTTAAAACCCAAGCCCACAACCCGTGCCAGAACCCTAAACTGCGAACCCCTTAAACCACACACAAAAAGAAGCTGCAAAGCCCCGCACCGTGAACAAATCCTAATTGACCCCGCACACACCGTGCACAAAGGAACCCCTCTGTACCCAGCTGCAACCCAGCCCACAAGCGATGCAACCACCATAACTAATTACCATAACCCCTGAACGCTTTATTCCAGCCAGAAGCCGCACACACACACACACACACACACAAAAAAAAAAATCACAAAGCGTACAGAGGCAAAGCCTTAAACAGTCATTCCAAAGCCCCGCGCACACCTTGCACCAACCTGACCCTCATGCCCTCATGCTCATACCCTAAGCTCTAAGCCTCGCGCAAAGGGCAGGAATCGACTATCAACCCTTTATGCCTTTAAACCCTGGCCCGCGTATATGCGCGGAGCCCTAAAACCTTTGGGTGCCGCACGCAGGGATACCCGGAAATCCCAATGACAAACCCGAAGTTTTGAATGCCCAAATTGTGTAACAAACCTGAACCGCCTTTATCCCCAAGACCCTAATCACCCCTAATCGATGCACGAACTGTGCACGCGTGAACGGATATCGTCATCGTCGTGTCGTAGCGCTTTCCCGTGATTGCGCCCACATCCCGAACATGAGACGATATCGTCTTCTCGGATTTGCGTCACTTTTCCGGACTCTCTGCAGCTTGACTGCATCATACCGTATCCCATCTAGGCGTTCAAGCACGGGCCTAGGCGGTCAGAAGGCAACATGAAGGATCATGGGCAAACGAAGCTCACCTTCGAGCAGTCTGGGATTCCTGGCTTGGCACTGCGGGTTCCTTCCCTCTTGTGAAAAGCTCGTGGGAGATGCCTCGCCAGAAGCTGAGGAAATTTCAATTGGCTTCATGAGCTTGGGCAAACCACCCCGTTCACAATAGCGTCCGCGTGTGTCCACACGCAGGGCACAGGCGCTTGATCATTTGAGATTACATTCCGTATTGGAATTCGTAGTATGGTGTGCCGTATTCCTCCAGCTTCTCAGGCCTGGCTCTTTCTGCTGCGGGTGGGGCATTTCCTCATCCCAGTTGTACGCCGCCTGTTGCCGTCCCGGGCACCGAACCCTCCAGCAGCCAAGACTGTGGCCATTCTCTGCCAGGCGATGGGAAGCGAGGAAAGATTCAAAATTGGCTGGGGCGGGCAGGTGTTGCAATGCTCCGTTCTGTTGAGAATCGATCATACAGTTCTCTCCTCAGCCGGCATCGAGACTCACTCCTTGCTTCATAAAACAGTCAACCCGTCGCCAGTTCCCACACGCACTGTCTCACAGTCTAGCACATTGTCTACGTCCTGCATGTTCGCCGAAGCCACGCGAAGCCACACCTTCCCACCTTGCTTGCGGCCTTCTGCTAAGCCGTCACAACGCAAACTAGCTAGCCGAAGACCTTTACGTGATTGCTTGCCTAAGGAAACAACTTCGATGCTTCCTTTCCGGATCTTGTCGCCGGCACTGGCATACATCGTCGGAACGAGTCCGAACCACCAGTGTGTTGAGCACTTCTCTCAAAGACCGTCGACACGGGAAGTTGAAGGGCGTGAAGCGGTGTGGCCAGGTCCGAGCCTCGCACATGTCCAGCCCTGAAAACCAATCAGGCTTCTCTGTCAGGGCACATACCGCGCAGGTCCGTGCATTTCGGCGCGTAAAGACACGTCTGGGAAATCAGAAACACTACCTCCGAAATGCAGGAAGACATCGACATGCGAGTCCTACCGGTCTCTGGGTCGGCTCCGAACTCGAAGAGTCCGGCCCTGCAGAGAAAACGACATAGCATCTCCTTGATCCTCCTTGTCTTGCATTTCTACAGCAGCTCAGGTCTCGGCGCCATGGATCCGAAAGTGGAGACCACCTTCAACCGGAACCTGCGCCCAAATCGACGAACCACGCACGAGTCCCTGCTTACGACCGGACTCCGGCCTTTGGTAGATCTGAAACTCGTCGAGAGTGTTGGAGTCACTGCTTGAGGCCTCAGGTGCAGTGGTGAAGGCCACTCTCCCAATGGAGGGAACGTGCAAGAAGGCGTCAAGAATGCTCCTCACATCCTGGACAATTTAATTTAAGAGACAATGACTTCTTGCAGCAGGCGCACGCCGTTTTCAGAGTGCAAATTGCCGTTATGTTGGCTGTTCCACCTTCTTGAATTTAATACGTAGCAGGGTATGGTTGTCCGTATCCGCTGAGAAACTCAGCTGCTTGGTAACGCCACGCATGTTTGCTCGGTTCGCTGCACGGCTTGGTGGGGTTTTGTTCCGACGACCATCGCCAGAACTCCTCTCGCTCTCAACCTCGCAAAGCAGAACACTATCTCCGACACGTAGCAGTGCTTCGACTGGCCTCCATGCGCGGCCGCACTCAGTCGTCGGGAGACTGGAGAGCCAGTGCCATAGCTTTGGCCAAGCGCCCCTACAGATCACCGAAAAGCAAATTCACTGAAGACACACGTTAAGGACTGTCATGGACTGTCGCAGTCATCCTACCGACGTCGGGTTGAACATGACTCGATCCAAAACACTGCACTGGACTGCTCGCAGTAGGTTTTCCCGGGTGCACGCGCCCGCGCATGTTGGCTTGCTGCCTCCTGCCTGAAGAATGAATTATATCATATATTTGTGTAGTTGGCACCTATCAACCTATTACCTGAGCAGGTGTAAGCGATGCTACGACAGGGCAAGGAGTGCAGGCCAGAGAACTCCGTCCACATGATTTGTGTATCCAACGTTTCTGACGGCGACTTCGATCTACAACGACAGCAACAACCAGACAAACCTTGTTGCAGCTACTCCTCTCCCATCCTCCCCCGCCCTGCAGAGGGACAGACAGGCTCGGGATCATGTCGGATCCGGAGTGGGTTTTCGCTGCCGGTATGAGGTACGAAGCAAGGTAACTGCGCGAGATTTCTGTGCTAGCCGAAGGACCCAACTAGAGTGCACACGAAAATGCGCAAGGCAGTCTGCTCCAGGGCGGAGGTTGAGAGATCTGCCCAGCAGCAGAATGGTCGAGCATGGTGCACGGCAAAGCAAGTTTGGAGCGTGCTGGCGTCAACATCGCTTCACCTAAACTTTGAGGGTGAAACGCTGCGGTTTTTGGCTTTTGGCCAGCCTCAAACAAGGGCGGCCAGCTCAAGCGGCAGGGGGCTTGCAGGCACTGCCATGCAGCCTCCCCCGAAAAGCTTCCGTCTGTGCCGTAGAGAACGGATTGCTTGCTTGGCGCTTACATTCTGCTAGAGTCTGCTAGAGTGACGTGTTCTCCTTGAAGCTTCAGTCGCCTGATGATCCTGATGTGCCTGTCACATAGATGAAAAATGCCAAGCTCACCTCAGATGGCCATGCTTACGTCGTTGGATGAACAGACCGAATCCTCTTCTGCTTGGTCCCGTGCACCGGCCAGCACAGGTACCTCTGACTTATCGGCTGGTGCGTCTCGACGCGGATTTGCTGCTGATGGCTGTCTCAGAGATTTTGTGGGGCACGGCAATGCGCAAGCACAGCTGTCCACGGCCTGCAGCAAGTGAAGTCGCCTTCGAGGGCAGCCACGAGAAGCTCAGAACCTCAAGCTGCAAGCACCGCGAATCGTCCGGTCCTCCTCTTGCCCAGCAGAAACCATCGGCTCCCTCGCAGAGTCGCCTCAAGGCAGTGATGTGAAGAGAGGCCTGAGGGGCCTAGGACCTAGGAATCGGCCTTGGCCCTGCAGCATTGCCCATGCCCACGACAGATCCTGCACCGTCTTAGCCCGCCATCATGCACAATCCATGAGAATCCATCACAACGAGGCACTTCGGCCGGCCGCGGCCTGGGGCGTGTCGATGAGGCGGTCGACGTAACCAGTCCGCATTGGTGCACGGTAGCCTTCGGCTTCCGAGTCCTGAACCAGCCCTAAACTGACGCCCTGCATCTTTCGCTCGCATTCGCTCGCAAGTCAGCGCACCTCAAGCTGCTGGTAATGTGCCAACTCGGCATCTTCTGCCTGGTGCCGAGGGTGCCGAGTGGCGATGCAAAGCCAACAAAAGGTCTCTTTGGGCCGCCAGGAGCCGAACCATCGAGTTGGCATCGGCAGCCGGACCTTCACAGCGGCAGAAATCCGAACGCCTTTTCAATGTCCTGCAGACGCTGCCTCGGAACTCCTGGAGTGGGTGACTTCCTGCTCTAGGCTTCTGCTTTTCTTAGGCTAGGTGACCCGGCAAGGAACAGCTTGCCTCCAGGGTTCAGGTGTGCTGCAAGTTGCCGAGAATATTCCTGCAACTTCCAACCCAGCATGTCCCATTCGAGGGCTCTTGCCGGATCTCCTCATCAGCCTCCAGTTGTCTCAGTCGCGCCTGGCAAATGCAGATTGGCACCACGGATGTGAGCGGCATGCAGCAGACACTATCGACACCAGCAACACTTGAATCAACATGATATCCGAAAAACTCATTCCAGCTGCATCAGTTGCAGACAGCACTTCAGTGGCCTCTTCTTCCTCTTTGGCAAACTGTTCTGCCTCCAGAGTGTGGCAACGCGTAACATCCGGTCCGTCCTGAATTCCTGTACCCTCCACAGCTTGGGCACAGGCGAGCACGGCATCCTGCTCCTCCTGTCAGCCGGATCTACTCCAAGCATCCAAGCAACGCACTTGCTTTTGAGATCCTGGAGCGTGGGCAACATTCCTTTTGCGACGAGTCCCGTGCAAACTCTTTCGCAAACATTTGCCACAAAGACTCTTTCGTTTCGCCCCTCAGAAGCCTTTCACTGTCACTAAGCCTTTGTCAGCAATTTTGCCTCCGAGACTCGAAAGCCTTGGGCGGTGGCTACGCGATCCTGCAATTTCTGGTTAGGCCTTGCAGACCCTGCTAGGGTTGAAGTGCTCCAATTCACCAGTTATATCCAGTTGTGCAAGTGACTGAGGCGAGAGATCCTTTGGGCGACGCAACAATTCACGAAGAGGCATTACTGCTCCGCTGAGTAGAACTGCCCTGGCGCGTGCCGCATGCAAAGCCCTTGCTGCAATGCAAGCTGGCCTGTTGCAACAGCTCCTGTTTTCGCTGTTCTTCTGCAGCTTTCTCCTCCCGCTCGCGAAACCTCCCCAGGACAGATCTGATATTGGTTTCCTGCTGGTGACTAGTGTGGACACTGAAATAAGAGAATGCCACCGACAGGAATGAAGTCTGCAAGCTCAAACTTCGGCACCCCCTGAACATCATGAAGACTTGTTTGCCCTAAAGCTGCTGCCTCTGATGGTGTCGTTGCCGAACGTCTGCCAACTCTTGCAGGGGCTGAGCCTTGGAAAGACAATTGCATTTTCCTCGTTTGCTACCTCAGTCTGTCCAGGGCACGTCATCCGCTTTGGCGTCCGGAGGTCCTGGCCCGGACATGTGGGCCGGACCTCGGTCAAAGACTACGTCCCACACCGCTTCATGGTGCGGAATGGGGCCTGGGGTGCTTGCGTCCAGTCAGGCTAGTCCCGGACAGGGAGCTACAGCTTCCGAGAACCGTCACGCATCAAGCAAAGAGAAGCAATTCACGGATCAACCGGGAGGATGACCACATGCATGCGCAAGATTGTGCGAAAGATTAGCGAGCCCTCACTGTGATGAGATGAGGACATTGCCTCGCGCGGCTTAACAGCACTTTGGCTCAGCCGCGAGATAGACGACGGCAACATGGCTGCGAAAGCTGACGGTTCCTTCATATCGCGTAGACTCCTACCACTCGCCAACAGGCAGGCGCAGCCCGGTCAGTCACCAGCAAGGTATGCTTCGAAGTCGGAGAAGGTCACAACTCCAGACTGGCACGTTCAGAGCAGATCGCTTGAAGCAAACCCCACATTCGGCCACCTTGGAACGATCCATGTCGTGGAAGAGCTCATGCGCACGGGATGCAATCGGCCGACAGGTCTCCACACACCTCGAGAAAGTGCAGCTGTTCGAGCCTGAGACCCTGACAGAGTACGCTGAAGTGAGCAAGCAGGCTGCGGACACTTCATGAAACGATCGCAGGTCCAGGAAGCCGTTGTCGTGCTTGTCCAAGGCAGAAAACCTAGTGCGCAGCAGAGTGGGAAAGGACTCTGGTGGTGTCGAACCAAGTCATCTGAGCATTTCAGTCTATGGCAGTCTCAGCGCGCGGTCGCGGTCGCCATAAATCCGCCTACAACGGCGCATATGTCTCTGAATCGAAGCACAGACATGCTCGCGCCTGCGTTCCGCCACTAACGCTAGAAAGGCCTGCCCGATGCAGAATACGAACACGACGAGGCTGCGACTGCAAAGAACCGAACCTCCAGAAGGATGCCCTGCGCTTCCGGCCTCCCGCTTTTCCCTGCTCTTTTTACATTTCTGGGTTAGTTGAGTCCCTGACCTGCAGTACTGGGTCATTAAGTCACGCAAATCCTGCCCGCAGACTGCACTTGCACCATGAAAACCGCTTTGGACAAAAGAGCTGTCCTGCTTCTTGAACTTCGTGCCGAATACCGCCCAGACGGCGCAGCCTAGATGTCGCAAGTGGCAGACGCTTTCACAAAAACGACCTGAGGATCCTGCTGAGGTCATCAATGTCCAGGCAAGACTTCCCATCTGCAGAGAAATCTCGAGACTCGCGTAGGCTGCCTAGGCTTAAGGCTAAGTCGCGCCTGAGAACCTCTCGAAGGCCGCTCTCGGATCCATGTGGGAGCGTCAAAGGCCTCCTACTGTGTCCTCCAGAAAATGTATACACTGTCGGTTTCAGCTTTAGGGCAGTGATCAGCACTCCAGCGTGCTGGTATCCAGGTAGGAGACTGCATTGCTTACAAGCAGAGATCAGGCTTGCCCATGACAACTCAGGTTGCGTATCGCATTGCAGAACTACACGTTTGGTGTTCCTGCACATTGAATCGCAACGCAACCCGAGAGAGAAACAGCTGCCATACGGCGAAAACAAGAATGTCGTGTTCAGCAACAGAAGCTGCTTACAACAAGCGATCCAACGGGACTGCACACCCAGCTGCATACCCTTAGTATCCCAGAGTGGTCGCACCTACCATGTAGATTGTCGGCTGACGGCAGTCGCAAGCTGTCGGTAAAGATCCACTGCCGTCCGTGACCCAAACATCAGTGGCAACGACGAGTCAGAAATACATGTCACATGTCACAATGACTCACCTCCATGGTTTTAAACGAACACTGCTCGATGCTCATGCTCGCTTAAGGATGCTTCTGCAGAGCTGCAAGGCGGCATCTGTCAGCAGGCGGAGAACCGAGCATACATGTTGGAACGGACCAGGACAAGGAATGACACGAGTTCGTTCAGGAGATGCTTATCTATGTGAAGTAGAGTAGTAGAGTAGCATTACTTTGCGGTGACGGGAAAAACGAGAGGACAACCCAAGGTGGGCACGTGACGGCAGCAAACTTACATAGAAACAAAGGCAGGCATGCATGTACCTCTGCAATCGGGCCACTCTATGTTTTGCGCTCTATGGACATTGCAATCACCCATGCCAGCCACGCCAAGCGCTTCTTGAACCAATCGAATTGGGCCTGCAAACAGAATCTCCCAAAATGCATGACCAGCTTGCGACCTATCAGGCTATCAGGACCCTGTCATGTCCTTGTCAGGTCCGCGCGCCTACACTAAACAGAGGCACATCGGCACGTCTACCATGTAGCGACACCAATGCTGCTGCGGTCCTTGGCGACTGCAGTCTTTCCATCGCTTGGAAATAGGCACCAGAAGTCACGTTGCTTCTCGACAGCGTCGAGGGACGTTAGAGCTAAGTCTTCCTGGCAAGCACAAATCAAGAGCTTTGGGATTCCAAGTGTGTCTGGTGGCCTCACGCTTCGCCCATCGCTGATAAAATTCCAATTTCCAGGTCCAGGCTGCAAAGTGTCTTCGCGTCAGCCTCCAAAGTGACAGGCGACAGGGATGGCAGGGATTTCTCGACGGGCCTGAAGCTCCGCTGGTTTTCAGCGCAGCGAAGGGCATGGAAGAGCTTCGCAGCTCTGTATGCACACCGCCGAGACAGCCAGCCTGGCTGAGAGCCCGCCCCGAGACTCATCGCTGCCCGGCAAAAGTCAGGAACCTTGGGCAGCCTTTGCAATGACACCTGCAGCTTGCTGCCTGTCCAAGGCATGACCACATGGCACCACCGCGATCGCATGCAGCAAAGAATGGCTCGTAGAGGCAGGGAGGGGAGAGCGAGAGAGAGCAAGAGAAAGGAAGCGAGAGGGAGGAGAAGGAGAGGGAGAGGAACACGGAAAGGGAGCGAGAGCGAGAGCGAGCGAGCCAGCGAGCGAGGGAGGGACGGAGGGAGGGGGGAGAGGGAGTGAGCTGTAGAGCTGCAGTGGGACGGGAGGGCTAAAGCCTCGCGACTCCGGAGCGCCAGTGATGTAGGCTTTGCCGTATTTGTGCCGCAAGGCAGCAGACGAGCGAAGTGGCCAGAACCTGAGACGACTGTCTCCGTTTTCAGTCTCTCGCAGGCTTTGCCCGCCCCCGTCTGTTCTCTGGGACTCCTGGGACTCCTGGGACTCTGGGGCGCCTGCTTTGCCGGCCTTCAGCTTGCTGCGTCTTCGGCGCTGCTGAAATCCGCGGTAGGCGCGCTGCAAGCGCTTCGCCATTAGCTGCCGCAGCTCCTACACAGTGTCTGATCATGTGCAAACTGAAGTTTTCTGTCGGGCATCTTGCATTAAGCCTCCTGTTCCTCTCTTTGGTCAGTAGCAGCAGGTGGGCTATCTTCGAGTCGAGATCTATCACAGTTTTTCTTGGGTTCCTGGCAACGGCACTGCAGACACAACTTCCCTATGCCTGGATGGCAGGCACCTGGATTTGTCGTCGGAGCACCCTGTCGCAAGCGACCACTGCCTCGATGCGACGGTCGCACGGGCGGATACGGGCGGCCATGGGCAGCACACGAAGAGCTCATCCCATCTCCGCTCCTTGGCCGAGGCGAGGCCACATTCGCGGCAGAGAGCCGCCAACTCCTCGACCTGGGCACCCGACGACATGACGACAAGTTTGATAAGCATTCTGGCTTGAACTCATGGCAGGCCTGCTTCGAGCTTGCGCACTTTCCCGGCACATGAAGGGGATGCCAGCGCCTGCAACACTTGCGAAAAGAAGCAGCCGCAAAGGGCTCGATGCAAGAAGTCACGGTGCTGTGCCTCTGCAGCTCAGTCAAGTGCTGTAGCACCGCCTCGGGAATCGCAACTTGGGTCCATCTCAGAGAGACTTGCCCGAAGGCCTCGATGTAGTGCTTGAAGCTATCCCGGACAAGCACGATGGGATCTCCCTGTCGCAGCGAGCGGGGGAAGTGAGGGAGGAACCAAATGACCCCCCACTTCCCCCCACTCCCAAGTCTTTATCACTCTCAGTGTCACTCTCCACTCTCCCCTCTCTCGGAGCGCGCCGGGCCATGCGCCGTGGCCATGGCCATGCCTCGATTCCCCGCTTGAGCGACGAGGCAGCGAGGCAGCGAGGCAGCGAGCACAAGGGTCTCTGCCATGTGCCTTGGCCTTGGGCACGACGTCACATCGCTCACCACCTTTTCGCACCTGTCGCTAGACGAGGCTCACGATCTCGCGCCTCTATCATGTCTCTTACCGCATCGCATCCTCATCCACACCACGTCGGAGTCCAGCAGGAAAGAGCCGCCACTTTACGTTGAGCTGCTCAAAGTTGTCGGCCGTGCGAGTCGCCTAGTCGTAGCTTGCCGGGACCGTACCTTGATTCCCGAAGCCAAGACACTCCGGGCCCTTGAACAATCGCTACACCTCGTTCGTGTCCTGCGCGATCCGGGTCAAAGCAGACCTCTACTCCCCAGAATGTCCACCCAGAGCGATGTGTCCTTGAACTGAGTGCACTGCACGGTGGGCGTCAAGATGCGAGCGCCAAGGGACTGTAGAAGCCGGCTTTAGACCTCATTGCATTCTAGTCATCATCAACCATCTGAAGCAGCGTTCCCGGCCATCGTTTCTCGATTTCCGACAAGTCCTTGCTCGGAAGCTTCATTCGGATGACTTTCTGGAGGTCCTTATGTGGAGCCGCCAGCTCCCAAAGAGTAAGCGGCGGCTTGGTGTCCGGAACTATGGTCAGAATGGCCCCATGTGCAGCAACCATTGACTTTGTCGCGTGGCGCAGGTTAAGTCGAACAGCGAGACCCAGAGGCGTCCAGCCATCCTTCCGCTTCACGTTGGGGTCCGAGTGTTTCTCTAGGAGAGCACGTATGAACTCGTTCTTCACACGTGCTGGAGCCTTTTCCACTGCCAGACTCAGCGCTGTGGATCCGTCGTTGCGTACCTCCTTGGTAGCTGGTCCATGCACATCCAGTACTTTGTGAAGCATCTCACTGGTAGTCTTGTACACTGCAAGATGGACACACGTTTCCCCGGAGCCTTTCGCCGGGAGTGTCAGGCTCGCCCTGTAAGAAATAAGCAGCTCCACCAACTCCATATTCCCAGTGGATACTGCCATCAACAGCGGAGTCCAACCAGTACCAGCATGATATGTATCTGGGTCGCCCTTGCTTTCCAACCAAGTCCGCGCAGCCGTCACAGAGCCCCCCAACATGTCACGCAAGATATCGCCCTTCAGATCCTTGTACTCATCGCCCATGTGGCAAATGGTGTCGCGAGTGTCGGCAGCGAACTCCGAGAATTGAGGACCATGCTTCTTTGCTTTCACTGCTCCTGCGGAAGAGGCCTTACCATCGGTCACTGCCTGCAGGAGTGCCTCACGGCGACCTTGGTGTGCAAAAGGCTTGCCTGCAACAGAAGAAACTCGAAACCCTAAACCCTACAGGAAACCTACCTGACACCAGCTTGGCAGCGAGAAGATCGCGTCTCCTCATCATCCAAGCTTCGCAGATGCGCACGAGCTTGAGATAAGTCGTCGGTCAGTCGCTGGTGGATATTGCTAAGCCGCTTAATTCTCTCTGGATCGAGATCAAAGAAGGCCAGCGGTCCACCGGTGTCCGCCTTGGAAAGTCGTTTCTGGAAGAAAAGAGATCATGCAAAGCCTCCTAGTGGAATTTGTTTGTGAGTGTGCATTCCTGGCGTGCGCGAGAGCCTTCGTGCTGAATGGAAACGTCGGGCGAGGGGACAGTTTCAAGCCCCTGCATGCTGCCCTGCAGAAAAATCATCGTGCGGTGACTGAAGCAGGCTGCAACTGCCGTCAGAGGGCAGAGGCTTTGCGTTGCTTGCGCTCGCAGCGCTGCAATTCCTTCTCCAGGAATGCGATTCGCTCCTGAAAAATACGACTTGCCCTCATTAAATACACAGCATTGAATACACAGCATGCCACCCGTCGTTCTTGAAATCGCTGTCCACTTCCGGCATATGTTGGACTGTACGGCACAAGGTCCTCCACCATTTTCTTCTCTTGATCGTCCTGCGAACAGGGGCTATGAGGCTATGAGTCATGCCTTCCATCTTGGAGGTACATCTCGACAGCTCGGGAAAGTGTCAGAGCCAGACCTCGCCGTCGTGAGTTGGAACGGATCCGGCTGATGTTATCGAACTTCGCCTTGATTACAGGGGACAACTTCAGCTGACAGAACCAAGACCAGCTGATGCTCGCGTGAATCTGTCTGGTACCCACCTGGAAGTACCATCATTTTCAGCTTTCGCCTTTGGCGCAGTAGCACCAACGGGCACTGTCCCGAGCGGGAATTCAAACTTTCCAAATGTGCACGTACCCGCAAGGGAAAGGTTTCTTACAGTACCCCCTGCACCTGCTTGTCCTGCAACACGTCGCCAGTTTCGGGATCAACGAGACCATCCAAAAGACCCAGTACTTTCACCTCGCAAGCTCAGATACTGCCAGCAGTCGCGCTTCGGATACCCACTGCTTGCACCCACCTCTGCCAAGAGCTTTTCTTGTCGCTTCCTGCTGTTCTTGGAGCTGTCACCAATGAAGCCAAGCCAGCGCAATTTGGAATCCTCACCGGTGGTGCTCGTCCCTGTCGACAAGCCTTGAGCTGTCACCGGCACAGGTAACACGGCCAATGGCAACCAAACAAAGCCCCAAGCGTTTCTGCATATCACCCAAAAGCATTGAACTATCAAGCATCTGAGACTACTGCAGCTAAGATGCTTCGGAAGTCATCATCGTCCACGCTTCCAGGCGCTGCAACAAAGACAGTGGATTTCCACTGCCTGAAACAGACACACACACACACAGAAGAAGAAGCACTTTAGGCAAGACCCGGCATGGATTCGATTAGGGCCTATGACCAGGCAAGCAGGAACGCATTCTCTACTGCAAGGCCTGTTGCTCAGAATCCTGTCCTCTGGCACGTGTAAAGCAATGCAGTAGGAGACGCGGCTCAGAGGCAGCACGCGTCCTAGGTCAACAACTTGCCACACTCCTGCCCAACCCTCATCGTCTCGCGCGCTTGAAATCGGTTCGGAAGGCTGAGTCGGATATTGAAGCGGGGTGGGATGCATTGAATGTAGCCCAACATGAGAAACAATAAGTACAGACAGCATCATACACCAGTTTTCAAAAAAGCCTACACTCTGCTGACGGCATCGCATCGGTAACCTGCAGCCAATGTTTCCATGTCCATCGGGAAGCCTGCAGGCCGCCCTGCACAGCTTCTCACGGTCTGTGAAGATGTCGGGAGGGTCTTTGATCCTGATAAGGCCAGCGACCAGCTCAGATCCCCATACCACCTGTGCGCTTGATAAAGAAACTAGCTCTTTTCAGGCAAAAGTCGCAACAAAAGCGTCGTCAGGTATGTCTTCACCATGCGCTTCGAGTCCTTGAACATCTTCCACTAACCTCCCATTCAAGACGAGCCCCGGCAAATGAAGCATGGGCACATCACGAGGGGAGGTGCAGGCCCCGCACCTGTCCCAGAGTTCCTCGGCGAAGTCGTGAGCCGCAGGAAAGTCGCTGGTCCCGGTGTCAAACCGAGCCACAATCCTGTTGAAGCCAGAACCGGTGGTGTAGTGATAGACCGTGACCTCAGCTCGAAGATATCGAAGGCAGTCGAGGCATGCTGTCGCTGAGGCGATGACGAGCCGACGGTAGGCCATCTGCCCTTCAAGAGCTTCAAAGAAGGGCAGCAGGTTGAAGCGGACAGGCCAAAGGACCACGCCAGTTCGAAGATGCTTCAGGAAAGGAACATGTTCTGACCAGGCCGCGACTTCGTAACCTGCAGGTGGCATCTTCTTCGGCTGCAGGACCTCTCCGAGGTGGAGCCCAGAGTCAAACCAATGCTCCAGGTTCAACGCTTTCTCCGTCGCATCCTCCATGGCAAGGTCCTGCCCGAGGGGAGCCACTCCTTCAAACTTCTTACACTCGTTGTTCTTCCTTTCTATGTCCTGCTTCTGAGCTGCACCTTTTGCGTGCTTTGCAATCGGCGAAATTTGCTGTCGAGAGCGCGGCTGAAAATTCTGTGCCGAGTTCACCATCCTCTGCATCCTCGCCAAGGGTGTGCAAAGCTGATGACTAGTCTGAAGTTGATGTCCTGAGGCTTTCCAGGTATGCCGTGGACCCCAGGGCATTCTTTGTGTCGGCTTCCTCGGGATCTTCGCCATCACCAACCTGGAATCAGCAAAACGCAATCTTGGGGCGGTCTGGCCAAACAGCCGCAAGCGTCTTTGCTTTTCTCTTGGCCTCGAAGCGAACCCGCTCAAAGTTGCGGTGTCTCTCCCAGCGTTCCGCCCGTCTCTCCGCCCGCGTCTTTGCATGGGAGGTCTTTGCGCCCTTCCGACCCAGAAGAGACCAGAAAGACCGAGCCTGGCTCCAGACGCCACGGATCCAAAAGAGGCTTCGATTCGCACAGGCATGTCAACCTTCATTGCACTCCAAGGATCGCGCCTTTTCAGTAGGCTGCGGGCTGTCCTGGCGCAGACACACAAATTGAAAAATGTCAAAACGCGCTCTGCCAACTCCGACCCCGCGCGATTCTGTCATCATGGTGTATGCTCCGGGCTCCGGGGGGGCTACCTTTGACGCCTTCGTCCGACGGGTTTCAGGCTTGCGAGTCGGCATCGATTGCACAAATTCCGCAACTCATGGCTTCAAAGGCCAATAGCAGAAGCCAGAACTGCCAGAACTGCCAAAAACGTCGTTAAGGACGCAGCTCTGTTCTCTGCCTGGCCTGGCGCTGCAGTGCGTTGCGCCGTGCGGCCGTCAGCGGCGACTCCTCGACTGGGACGTCCTCGCTTTTCTCTCGATTCCACATTGCTGGCCGCTTGGCTGAGCAAAATGTTGGATGACGGAAAGGATGTTCGTCTTGCTATTCGACCTTGCCGCCAAACCCTTCTGGGCAGCTACATCACGCAGCCTTTTAGCAGAATCTCCTGCATTCATCCATATTCAGCCGCAATTATTAGGGAAGCCATATGCGCCAGATCCTCTCTACAATGATCTGGTGTGCAAAATTAAATCTGAAGACTCAGGCAAGGGATCTGCTTACTTTGCAGCATCAGCGATTGGTCAGCACGTGTCAGCAGCAGGGACCGCACGCAAAAAAGCATCTGCCGTTGTTCATGGATTCAGAGACACAGCTTGAGCGCTCATCCAAGCCACGGCATATGCCTGAAAACCGTTGCCACTTACGGGCAGTGATGGCAGTGAAGGATGCACGGAGCATTGGGCAGACTTTCCTGCCACATGTACGCAAAGCTCAGCCAGAAAACTCCAGCACCTTCTCCTCAGCCTCGAGCTCCTGCAGCGACACTCTCAAGCGATGCACAGCTCTGCAGCATCCTCATCGAAGACGGATCGAGAGTGTTGCAGATATCTTCTTTTTGCACTGCGCAGCGCGTACTTTCCTTCAGACAATGCCTATCTCACTGCTTGATGGCCCTTCCAGGCAACGTAGATTATCGTTAGTATGTAGAGAATGCAACCGACCTGCATGCGAGCCATACCGTATCCAGCAAACTGCTCTACCGCCAGGTATAGGTTGGCGCAAATGATCAAAGATGTAGCAAACCAAGCAGCTATCAGCGAGGTTTTCGACAATACCAGATTATCCATGACGCGCTTCGACCCTGCAAAAATTAGCAGGGGCACGGCCGCGAAAGGAAGTACGACACTCTGCAACACATTCAGGTATGTGTTGAGAATGTCCAAGCCATCACGCTGTCCTCCGAAGTAGATTGCGACAGCAAGGCATGGAACTAGCGCCATGGAACGAGTAATGATGGCCCGTTTCCATGGAGCTACCTTCAAATCCAGGTATCCCTGCATCACCCACTGGCCGGCGTAGGCACCAGTCATCGTGCTGGACTGGCCGGCCGCGCACAGACCTAGGGCCCAGACGATCTTCATTGGTTCCCCAAAAGCCTCTCCCAAGTATTGGCCGGCGTTTGCCAAACCGATTGCATCGGTTCCGGGCTTGCCAAAGAAGCCCTTTGCAAAGACTGCCACGACGAAGGTGTTGATGATCAGCGAGGTGAGGATCGCGCAAGTTGACTCTACTGTGAAGAGCCAAACAGCATCTGCCTCGCCCCCAGGCTGCACCACACGGCTTTGCACCAGAGCAGAGTGTAAGAACAGGTTGTGTGGCATGATCACACAGCCAACCATCCCAACTACCTGCAGGGGACAACAGGAACTTTCAAGAGAACTAGACATATTGGAAGACTAGTTAGAAGTGTTTACTATTCAAGCACCTGCTGCATGGCGGAAGGTGGTAGCCACGGAACGAGCAGACCTTCTGCCACTGCCATGCTGTCAGGACAAATTCTTGCATACAAGCGACCCATGGACAAAGCCAAAATCAAGATCAGCACACCAAAAAACAGCTCGAGCGGTCGTGTCCCGAGACGTTCCAAGAAAAGAAAGATGAAGGCCGCAAAGGCCGTGATCAATACTCCAACAGTCAGGGGGATACCAAAGAGGAGCTCCAGGCCAATGGAGCAGCCAATCACCTCTTGGATGTCCGAGCCGACAATCGCCAGCTCGGTGAGCATCCAAAGAAGCTGCCGGAGTGGAAACTCAAAGGCATCCCGGCAGTGCTCTGCCAAATGGCGCTTTGTAGCGCAGCCTAGCCGGGCCGCCAGCAGCTGCATTCCCAGACCCATAAACGTAGCACCAGTAAGAGCCCACAACAAAGAGTATCCAAATTGTGCCCCGACTTGAAGATCTGCTTCCAGGTTTCCAGGATCGACGTACGCAATGCTCATCAGCCAACCAGGGCCCGTAAAGGCCAGGAGCCGCTGCAACCATGCGTGCCACGTCTCCCTCCCCCTTTCAAGCAGCTCCTCGTTTACATCGTCTAAGGCAAGCGGCTTCTTCAGCTCAGGAACACCAATCGGAGTAGACGGGTGCGAGTCTGGCGGATTCAACAAACCAAAGGCCGCCAACGCAACAGGAGATGAATCTTTTGAGGTTTGACGGCTCAGCACACCGTCAACCTTGCCCAAGCTACCAGAGTGCGAGAGCTTCGGAGGTCTCGGGCGGTTAGAGCGAGCGGCCATGAGGCTGCCCGGGCCCTTCGACTGTGTCTAATAGCTCCTGAAACTTACATACATAGTCTACATAGTGCATTGCATTCTGAGTTTGTGTACTTTCGTGTTCTTCCCAGCCTGGCCGGCGTGCGCCTGGCCACCAGTTGATACTGAAATGGTGACAAGCCACAAGCAGGAGCAAGAGGCAAGGCTGAAGGCGGACAAAACATCCAAGCATGATGGAACAAACAAGTCTCAGAAGAGAGCTTCTTCTCCTGGAAGTCGAAAAGGGAATGACGCTTGGAAGCGTACAGGAGCTGAACACAAGTCCTCAAAAAAGATGTGAACATGTCTTAAGTGAAACAAGCAAGGTCGGCACATCTCGGCACCGCGCCCACTCGATTTCGGCCGTGCTGCCTTGGCCTGGCAAGTCTGAACTTCACCTAGTACAATCCGGAACCGAGAAGGTCTCACAGGCAGCAGCGGCTTCAATCTGCCATCGCGGCTCTACCCAGCAAGCAATGACTATGACTTTCGGATGTGCCATGGACGATTATGATGAAGACCCTCATACTTTCGGGAGCCTGTCTGTGTTTGCGAATGGTTGTGGGCACGACGAAGTGGAGAATGCCAAACTGCACGCGAAAAGACGAAAGCGCAAAGTCCAAAACTTGCATTGGACAAAGCTGCTTTTTTGCGGCGAAAACACAGAAAGAATAAAGACTCGAAAAGCTTCGAGAGAAAAACAACAAATACTGCCAATTGCCAACAGAAAGTAGAGCGGAAAGCAAGAAAAGTCGAAAAGTACAGCGACAGGCGATAAGACGAAAAGTCACAAAGTTTGAAAGTCTAAATGTCGAACCATCGAAAACGTGAAAAATCTGCAACCACCGAAGAGGGCGAAAACTCAGCAAGTCTGGTCAAAAATCCCTGAAAGATATCGAAAATCCCAGCCCAAGTATCTAAGGTCTTGCCACGTCCTGGCTACTTGGGTGAAAGCCGAGATGGTTTACAATTTAAACGAATGCCATTTGGTGGCTCCGAGACAGGATGAAAGGCCCAAATGCTTTTGTCCGGTCCACTTGTTGGTGCTTTATGTTACTGGGTGCCTTCGGGGCCGTTCAAAAACTGGGCCAAAGTCATTAAATTGTTCTGGTAACGGGCCTCCAAAAATATGCCAAAGCACCCGTGGTTTCGTTTTTCTCAGGTGTGTTGAGGACAGGGCCCAAAATGATAACTCATTGGAATCTGGCGCGCACAAGATCCCTGGTTGGCTCTCAGACCCGAAGAGCAGCCAGAAATGCTTGTTGTGGGGTCACCCTTTAGTGTCTTTAGTGCACCTCAACCTTCGTTCACTCTATTGTGCTCTGAGGATGCCCGCTGATCAAATCAGTAAAATTTGCGATTAGGCGTGTCCCAAGCCCGTCGAAAATCAGCCAAAGTATCCCAAAACTGAGCACAACGGCAAAATTGCCTGTGTGTCTGCTGCTGTTAAGCGCTTTGAAAAACCAAAATGAAAAGCACATCTTGAAAAATGCAACTAGGTGGCTCCCCACAGCCGAACAACAGACCAGAATTCCATATGCTTTGTCCACTGTCGTGGTGGTTGAAACAACACGACTAGCGACAGTACTGCTCCTACTCACATTAGTGCCGCTTCAGGTCTACCCCTAGCCTAGCCCGAGGCCGACCCGTAGGCCTATCTTCTACCTCCACGAGCCCTTACCCGCATGACTCCTGGCCTAAGCCCGAGGCCTCCAGCCCCACCCTGCCCCCCATGCCTTGTCTTGCTGTTACACTTACGCCCCAGCCCGGGCCGGCCTTATGCCCAGGCCTCAGCAGCCCGAAGGTAAGTCTTTCTAGGATCCAACCCTCGGAAGAGATCGAAAAGCTCACCCAAAAAAAAAAAGCCCTTAAACTCGAAAACGTTCTCAACGTTTTGACTTATCGATTTTTAAAAATTTGACTCGGTTTTTCCTTTTCCCTAAGTCTACGCCTGGCTGCGGTTGTCGTCTTAGCGAGACTTTGGTATGGCAAGATCTATCTAGAGAGGGCGGCATCCAGTCCTCATCAGCCGTTGTGGCTTGCACGTCGGCCACTGCCGAGGGTCGGCTGCCTGACTGCAGCACCTGGCTGTGGCTGAAGATACAAAGATCTTCTGGGCGTTGACTTTGCCAACTTTAGATTGGAATGTGCCGAATGTGCCTTACACTAAGGCTTTCCTACCGGGTAGCATGGTTGCTCCCAACAAGAAGTCCGGGCTTGGACTACTTGCCCACTCAGCACGTTGTCGCTGCTGCCTTCATGGACTAATCATCTCTGGTGTCAAATGCAAATGGCCTATGTAAGTTCGGCGAGGTTGCTAGTTTATGCAAGTTTGCCTTCCAAGCAGTGGCAACCCTTCTGAAATGCGCATGCCCAATGGTTCCCGTCAGTGCGAAGCACAAAAAGCGGCAGAAGTCGAGCTACGTCGCGCTCACCTACGCAATCGTGAGACAGATGGACTTTTTCCTAAATTGTTGACAGGCTCATCATGTCCACACAGGACACAGTCATCGACTTGCAACAGCCTCAGAATTGAAAAAGCTTTCATGCCGAGGCCACACAACCTTCTTGCTCTGCCCGGGCTAGCTGCCGCTGAAGCTTGCTGGCCTCGGACAGTCTAACAGGGCCCAAAGATCCACATTTTCAGAAACCTCAGGAGCCTGGGAAAAGACCGACGAGTTGCCAGCAGACACGACCACAGGCTTGCGCTGAGGTCACGGCCAACTCTTCTTCACTGCCTCTTGGTACAGTGCCTTCTGAAATGTCACACATGTTACCAGCAGGTGCGGCACATGCGATTGCGCCATCTAGCCATGGCAGGTGTCCACGAATAGGCGACTGATCCCCAGACGAGCCTGGATAGCGTCCACACCAGTGTGAGGTCGTGGTCGCTGCAAACCTGCAACTCTTCGAGATGCTGGTGTGGCATTCACGAAATCGTTGAAATTCCCTTTTCTATGCCATCTACGCAGAGGACTTTCCCTGTCCTATCTGCAGTTGTGTCGATGTGACGTGTCTGCAGAAATTGGCTAGCGCAGATAGCATGTCTGCACAACTTGGCTAGCGCAGATAGCATGTCTGCACTCAATGTTTGACTGCAGCCGATGTCGCAGGTGCCCTTGCAGCAGCAGCATTAGCGTCCCGGCTACGATGGGTGGGGAGTTCACGCTCGCGATAAAATCGCAACGTAGCGATCGGGATCCACCTCTCAAACCTCGTCGCAACGCACCAATTCGAGATAGCATCTTGTGCTTTATCGAAATCGGCAAATTGGAGTCGCGTGATTCACTCCAGCACACGTATTCCTTCCAATCACAGAACGGAGTATGGGTCGAGTACTTCGAGTTTCAATCACCGACAGCTCTTCGGCGCATGGAACTGAGATGAACTGAGTATACTTCACGCTGTAGTTAGAGTGGCTCGGGCAACTGAGTGGCGGCCGATGTGCCGAACGACATGAGATGCAGAAGGTGTTCATTCGTCAGAGGCCATCTGCACGTCTATTAGGTATGTCTTGGAAGGCTTCGCTTCGGTTGAGGAACGGATTCGGAGGTCATAGGAAGATCCCAATAGAGCGAGTGGAAAGTCAGCGCGGGAAAAGATGCTCATCCCAAATGCGCAACTCGAGTGCTTTTTCTCGCTGGCTGCGCTTAGTCTTTTCAAAATCTGTGGTAGCAGGGTCCGCGAGCCTCGCCTCGTGGATTGTACGAAACCTGTCTATAATAGACTGCTGCATCTTCCAAAGTCTCCGCAAAGTTTCAGTCTCGAAGCGAGTGCTCCAGACGGCAATAGACGCAGTCTCGTACCTTAGAACCCTATCCTGGCCCGTATAAACTGAACACCAGGGCGAGAATGAGAGAGTGAGAGAAAACAGGATTTACGAGAAAACGATCAAGGAGCAGGGAGCAATGGTTTCCAGTCAATGCATTCTTTAGCATTCTTTCTTCATGGGGACACAAGTACGACAGTATCAAATTCAAACTCGCCCTGGCGGCGTTCTTGACTCGTCTATGTCCATGTGTTTCTGACTCCTGCCGATCCAGTGTTGTCGACCGCTCGCCGGTTTGTGCACAGCCAACCCACAGCACAAGTCGCCTCGACGCTCTCTGGTGCAGCATTTCAAGCAAGACAGCTCGAGCCTTCCACAGTGCGCAGCGGACCCGGCCAAAGGTGCCTGAAACTGCATCTGTCGAAACTTCTGTCCAGTCCCTGATTAGTGGCCCAACAACAGCCACAGCAGCGTTTGCAGAGTTTTCTATGCAAGGATTGATTTTGGGGTACCCAGCAGGTACTCCCAAAAGATGCACAAGAACCCAAAGCGGGCCTACGTAGCAACTATTGACAAAGTGCGAAAATCGATGAAATCTATCGTGGTCAGGAAGGCCCACGCAAATCTTGAGGGACTTGCTGCCTCCAAGAGGCTGCCTCTGGATGGTCCGTGTGCATCGGCAAGTTTTCGGTGCTGTGCACGTTGCTGGCGAGTCCTACAATTGCTCCATCGTCGGAGCCAACAGACTCGTGTGGAGAAGGTGGCCGGTCTGGTTCTGAGACGCCCGATCGCTCCACAAGTGGATTAAATTCCGCATACACGTTCTCCGGGACTACAGTCTCGGACGGGGCTGCTCTTACGGCAGTGTCCCGGCTTGCCTTTGGGCAACAAACGCACGAGTAGCTTGATCCATATCCTTGTGTCCGAGCCGGGAGTTCTGGCTCCGGTGCCACATCCGAAGCGACGTCGCCAGGGAGGATGTCCAATACGGCATTCTCACGGCTTTGCTCCTGTACGGAAGCTACTCTGATTCTGCACAGTTGCCCGTTGACATGACAATAACAGTTGCTCGCAGTCCTCAATCGCCTCCACGATGTCCCAGTCCCACTCGTCAAGATTGCTGACCTGCGCGCGAGGCATGCGGGACTTTGGAAGAACCGCAGCAAAGACATATCGACGCTACTTCGGCGAAGAAGGCATCCACAAGTTTTCACTGCCCTCATTGATCTAGAATGGAGGACTTACGTATTGTCTTGGAGCTTGTCACAGGCCCATGTCTGGGCCAAATGGTATCGCAGTAACCGTCATAGCGTGGACACACGACAGCGACAAGACAGGCGAGCCCTAGGCAGATCCTTTGCATGGGCAGCTGTCCATTTAACAAAAGGCTTCACTCTGAGGGAGAAGTTGTCATCCCATCACTTGAGTGCAGTCGTGACTATAAGCAGCGTTCAGGTGTACAAGCTGTCACATTGCACCTGGGACTCCGATCGCTGTCTCCCGGCATCTTCCCAGGCATCCTAACACGACACGAATGGATCCGCTCGAAGCAAAAAGTCTCTGCTTCTCAGACGTCCTCGCTGGAAACCTGGACGTCCGGGGCGTCCTGGACCTCGGGCTCCTCGGGCTCCATGTAGCGCCAGAGGGCATGCAAACTCTACATCCCACAGAAGCCGAAGCAGGATCCTTCTGTGAAGCAAGGGCCATGCCGAATGCCGGAACGTCATGGAGTTTGCATGCACATGCCAAACTCCAACGGAACATGAACCACCGTCATATCGCCCACTATCAGAGTCACACCATGTCACACAATAGTAGGAAAAGTGCAGGCCCTTTGCAGCAGCCCGCAGACACTGGGGCGATCGCGTCTCTAAACCACCATCGACCAGGCCCAGCCAACAACCTCCTTGCTTCGAGCCAGATCCAGTCAGCGTGCAAATGAACCGTACACGAGCTTCCACCAGCCTTGCAAACAGCATGCTGCACAGCAGCTAGGGCTCAGGGCAGCGCCTGAATCAAATCAACTGCAACGTACAGAGGAACTGACTGAGTCACATGGCCTCCAGCATGGTGCGCAGGACTGCCGATCCTACGCGCGTGCCTGCGAACCGGAGACAGCCTTCGCAGCCGGAGCTGTTTTTATAGCTTGACGTTTCTGCAGATGGAGGACAAGACCAATATCTGCAATCTTCGAAGAGATGCTGCAGAAAAGGTGTGCCTCAGCATTGGGCTCTGATGTGGCAGCAGCTGTTGCACGACAATCTGAGGCGTCACTGTTTGGCTGGCGCTTCCAGGTGACTGGTCCAGGGCCCATGCTCTGTTTTTCAGAGCATATAGGCAAATCCGGTCTCAGTATTTGAGCACTCGGAGCATTAACGGATGATGCGTGCATACATTGAGGAACATCGTGTCTGAACTGAGTTAGTACGAGATGTGATGTTGATGTTTTCCTTCTCGGAGGCGCGGAGAACACAGAAGGCTCTAGATAAGAGAGAGAGAGAGAGAGAGACACCGTCAAGGAAGAACGTAGATCTGGAGGCGTTCCGATATATTTTGGTGCACGGAGGAAGAGGGGGCAACAGCTTGTGGCGACAGAGCACCGGAAGGTGGCGAATTGAAGGAACACCCACTGGGTGTCCATGGAAGCCACTCTTGTTTGCATGAGCCAACTGCCCGGAGGAGTGAAAATGCGAAGGAGACTTGGAATGAAAATTCATGTCCTTGTGGGGGTTCCCTGTGTCGTGTCAACGCTTGCTTCCTCAATGTTGCACGCATGCGTTTTGTCTTCCCCCATTCTGAAAGCTGCTTAACTTCGAACCTGAAACTGCTACACATTGCCCGAGGCATAAGCATTTTCGCTTCGATGCTAGCTGAACTGCCCAAACCCAGGCTGCACCGTCGGTTTCACAAGCACTCACTTTATGAACTTGCTGATTGCCTGGGCAGTACACACACCGTACACGCAGATGCTCCATCCAACGCTGCCATTCGCAGCCGAACTAAGGTGGCTTCTCCATGTTTCCGAGCTTCTGGCCTCGCTGCGATGCTTAGGGCACTGCTTGGAGTGGGGGCGAGCTCTGAGAGGCTCCCATTCCTTGGGTTTCACATCGCTGCTTGTGTTTCAGCTTGCAAACCTTGGATCTAAGTTCAGCGCGATTCGCGGACTCCTGTACGGAACTGTGAATGAAGCTTAGCTGTAATATCCAAGGCCTTTGAGTCAACCATTCTACATCTCGTAGGCACGAATTACGCCAAGCCTCGAGAGGAAGGTACACTGCCTGTTGCATGAGACACAAGCCCAGAGATCTCGATGCAGAATTTCCACCAGACTTAACAGTCGACAGTACTGTTGCGGCTGCGCTGCATGGAGCTCAAGCCCAACATCAAGAAAAACTTGCCTGGATTGCAGTCATTTCGTCCAAAAGGTCGTCGATCGACACAAAGCCCTAGCAGAAGTCAACGTGTGACTGCAAGGCGAGTGAGGCGACACGGCCAGTTTGGCCGAGGCCTCCGAGTCTGCGTCCAAGTAATTGAAGAATAACCTGGCTTCCTGCAGTACTGGTCCGGACTGCAGGCTGTTTCCATTCAAGACTGATGCACCTGCTTCACGGAATCTTCCGTATAGTGGATGTCTGACAGTTCACGACACTTGAGCAGGATTGGAATCACCTCGGACAGATTACAAGCGCCGCCTACATGCAGACTCTGGACGCTGGCAACTTCTGGCATGCACACTGAGGTCGCGCACGGCCGACGTAAAATCCTCTTGGGAGAGCAGTCGCCTGAGGTCGTCTAACTTTCTGCACCACCTCCAACACTTGTGTCTGCCGTCGAGCTGCCGAGGATATGGAATCTCAAACATTGCGGACACCTCGCGGGATTTCAAGTTGTGAAAACAGCACACAATGCGCTAGGATCTTAGCACCCAGCCGGGGTGCCAGACATACCAGTGAGAAGTTCAAGTCTTGGGCGCAAGTCACTTAAGAGCTATTGGCTGGCACACGCGACGAGATAGATTGCTTACAGTCACTGAGTTTGGGACATGGTGTTGCTCGCATCAACAGCATTACTTCTTGTCGCCTCGAGACTTCAGAGCCCGAAGGCCGAAGGTTCGAGTGTGAGCAGTGTCGAGCGGAGGCACACTTAGGAACGCCCCGCGCCCGAGCGCAGCGAAGCCTCGCAATCTTCGGATTCTCAATTCTGGGAGTGGCGAGGGTAGCAAGTGCTGACTTCTGCGCTTCAACTGTCTCGGCCTCGGCTGGACCTCTCGTCAAGAAAATTGAATCTTCTTCTTTCTCTCAACACATCACTGACTACTGGCGTGATGCTGTGATCCACACAACTCAGCTCTGCAAGACCCTGCACATAGTAGCCAAAACAGTTGCAGACTGTCCTCGGATTCCCAACTGCTCCATGAGAGTTGCGAAACATCTGTAATGCATCGAAAGGGCCAGGACGGCCTCTCGTGAACACGCTACAGGTATTCCGTGGGCAATGCAAAGCTACACCGCTACACGTCAACGCAGGACCTGTGAAGTTTTCCACGGGCATGGACAGCAACAAATCCGAAGAAGCCAAGAATCGTTTCTGCCAATGTTCAAGCGTATCAGGTTGTGCTGCCACTTTGAAAGTGTAACCTGTCCATCTTCAGAGAGGTGGAGGGAAAGGGAGAGGGAGAGGGAGGGGGAGGCATCTGCCGGCCTCCTCTTGGTCCTCTGCGATGGCGCTCCAGGCTCTGGAGAGCGAGCCAAAGGCCTTCTGGCATCGAGCGCCTGGCTGCAGACTGGTGGCGACGCGACCCCACAGCGACTGCTTGGCCAAACGGGATGGTCGGACGCAAAGAATAAAGGTTGTTCACAGGAGCTGCATCAGTGAGTAGCGACGTGAAGGCTTCCAATGTAACCTCAGGAACTGCGAAAGCTCAGCCGGACTTTCGTCTTGCAGCGCATTTTAGCAGAGCACCTTTGTTGCTTCAGACTGCTTATTGTCCCACCGTGGGTGGTGCCACCCGACCATCTTGCCATAAACCAGAGCCTGCTTCAGAAGCACTTTCAGGGCGATCTGCCGACAAGTCCTGTCACACACTGCTTAGCGCACCCAGCGCTCCGCATCGGCAAAGCCGAAGTCTTGTCTTCGGTCCTTTCCACAGGCGGTATCAGGCAGGACCATTTGCCAGACATGCATGTACGTCATGTTCTGCAGCCTCCCACTCCAATAGATCAATTCCATCCGACAGCCTGAAAACTGAGGGTTTGCGACCATCCTTCACTGCCTGCCATGACCGAGCCTGGTATCAAAGATCTGGTATGCCTGCCGAAAGTCGTCGAAATTCTGGTTGATGTACCTCGTGGCCACCAGAAAGATAAACATGTTAACTTCTGAAGATTATCGCGCTAGACGCAGCTCTTCAAGTAGCTAACCACATGTAGCTTATTGCTGTAGCAAAAGAGCCCGGTGGCATCTTCTCCACTTTCCATCCCAACTTGCCGACTAAATGTCGTAGCCGCCGCATGGGATTATCTCGATTTTTTCATGGGAGGGAGGGAGAGAATAGGAGAGCCGGAAACAGAGACGGAGATAGCGCGAGAGGCAGAGATGAATCGCTTTTGACAGATATTGGGTTGCTTCCAAAACACATCAAGATACCTCGCGTTGATGAAGGGGTGACGAAACGTCGGTGAGAAACCGGAATCGCTGTAAGTCATTCGCAGGTGGCCTGCGGCAGTGGTTCCAGACACATCTCGCGATCTTCTCCTCTGTTGAGTTCATCTTGCAGAGCCACTGCCGCGCTGCGAATGACTCGAGGCGATTGAGCAAGCAATTGCTGATGGCAATGCTGGGCCGCTGCTGGGGGTTCTCGATGTGCCTTGTATCAATTCCTGCTACGCCGTACGGCCGTGTGGGGGGGGTGTGTCCTCATCTCATTATAAAGTATAAAGTAAGACAAAGCTGTGAATGCTTCAAGATGAGCGTTGGTGGTGCGTTTCATTCCAGCTCCCACATCCTCACCGGTAAGCCATGGCTCACTGCGGACTTGTCTCCAAACTAGGCTTCTCCCTGACGGTCCGACAAGCTGAGAGATTTGGCTTCACTCCATTCGGGCTCCTTCCCTCCTCCTTCCATTATGCATCTGTCCCTTCCGCCCAGCCGAGCTTGTCCTTGCTCGTCTTTTCTCAAAAACAACCTGTCCTTCCAACATGGGAAGTCGATCCGGCAAGCAGCGCCAAAGGCCTTCTAAGCTCCTTGGCTGCTTCCAGGCCCGCTTGGTCCAGCTCCTGGAGCAATGCCATTGGTCGCCCTCAGCTCTCAACCCCTCTTTGTTTCTGGGCCCCTCACCTCTCTTCCTGTGCCTTCCAGTGCTGCTTCCGTTTCCGTCTCGGCTAGGCACTGCATGACCTGGGGTCGGCGGCCGGCGGGTAGGCACTGTGACTCTCTTCATTTCAGCTTTGCTGTCTTCATGCCTCGATCAGGTCGGCTGCAGACTCCCCTGCCTGAAGTCGGACGGACAAGCTGTTGATCATGAGGAATGGCACTCGGATGTATCAAAAGGCAGTCGGGGTCAAGCGTTTTCGTTGCTTTTGAGGAGGGGAGTTCCTGGTTGAGTGGGTGTCCCAGGTGATGCCCAGCCTTGACGGAATTCAAGGCGCGGTCGCGAAGCATGGCAACAAGCTGCTGGCAGAAGTTCGAGGAAACACCAAGTGGCTGCAGCAGGTCAAACACCTCCGCGGCCAGCGCATTCTGTCGGTCGTTGAGCCATGCCTGACAGGATGACGGCCCACCCAAATACTGCTCAAGCAGGTGAAGCTGTTGTAGAATGTGAGCGTGGCGTAGGCTTACTCTCAGAATCTCAACGCTTGTGACTCCTCCTCCGCCACCAAGCACACTTGCTTGCTTGAAAACCGCCTCTATATCCTGACGGCCCATGCCGAGTCCCAGCGCCACAGTCTCCAGCTTTTCTTTGGACAAGCTACCCTTTCCAAGGCACTCCACGAAAGCATCCAAGCCAGCCTCGGCAGTACCAAATCGTTGAACCAAGCGCGTGCGGAAATCCAAAACCGAGCGCACCGGCTGGAGAAATTTCAAGACTCTCACGAAGTCATCCCTCCCTAAAGCATCGTCAGATTCAATCGTCAGCACGGCATCGGCGATCCGCTCTGCGTCAATAGTTGGAAGACTCAGCGTGCGGACGAGTGCATCCCGCAGAGGGTCTCTCTCGAGGGTATCACCTCCCAATTGCTGAAACGCTCGAAGGGCTGAGCCCTTCTTCAGCAGGGTGGCAAACGCCGATCGTAACTGTGACCATATCAGAACGTTCTGCTGCTTGTCTGCATCGAAGAGCGAAAGCCTCTGGGCCAGCTTGCTCGACTCGCGCTTCGCAAGCGACTGCAGCTCGATAAGGTCCGGTTCACTCAGCTCAGGCGCATGGAGTGTAGGTGTCTTTTTCATGTCAGCCTCATCTCTCGAAGCGTAGCTCGTCCAAGCCACCTGCACAGCAGATGTGAATGATCAACGCGCGACGCCCGCGCCGAAGGCGCTGGGGGGACACAGATTTCTTATCATCATGGAACAACAATACGGTTCAGTAGATACGCCTTCCTCGCTACTGTATGAATCCACGAAGAAACCCTCTCCGAGATGCCTACAGCTTGACGTTGAAGTTACATCTTGCATGAAGTACACATGTAGTTGAATAGAACAGGAGCGTGTCGTGCCCTGCGTCAGGCAATTGCTCATTTTCTGATGATGGCGTTGTTTCATCAATTAATACTTTCGGTTGCAGATAATAGCCCGCCGTACTTCGTACTGGTAACTGAGTCGGGACTGCAGCATAATAACCAATCAGGACAAACTATGTGTCGCGCGACTTCTCATCCGGTGCATACCCACTTCTCCAATGAAGGGAAGTTGCGGGGTAGAGATTTCTTGTCGGTTCCCTGCGTGGCATGGCCACCGGGGACATTCGAGACACGGCACCCAGGATGAAGGCCACAGCACAAACGCTGGCCGCGGATACAGGATGGCAAACCCTAAACCCTTTGAAGAAAGACGATGGATGGCAAGCCCTAAACCCAAATGGAAGTGACGGATTACTGCACCCAAAAAGACATGATGGATCATGATGATGGATGTCAGGCACTTTACCCTAAAGAAAGATAACGCAACGACATGATGGATGCCTTACCCTAAACACGAAGAGGAAAATCATGAATGGAAAGCTTGGGTAGCAAACAGATAATGGACGCCAAAGCCTGAACCCGAGCACAGGCGTAAACCCTCAAAGGTGGAAGCTAACCCTCATAAACCCTAGAATGAAAACATGGGACCCAAGCCCTGAAACCTGAAAGAACATGAAGATTGCGACCCCAAAAGTAGGACGGCCATCTTGAAACCCCAAGATAGAAAGCATTGAACAATGATGATGGATGGCATGATGGCCAACTCTGATGAACCCCAACGGTGGCAGACTCGAACTCCCGAAGGAAATGCTGGGTCGCAAACCCCTGAACCCTGAACCCCAAAAGGAAAGGACGGATTGCAAACCCTAAACTGAGAAGAGATGATGGATGACAGACTCAGCCCTCCAAAAAGTGAGTGCGAGCAAAGCATTCACCCTAGAAAAACACTATTAATTGAAACGATGGGCCGTGGCAGTTGAATCTGAAAACGATATGGTACAATGCAGGTTTGAAAACCCAGATTCGAGATTGGATAGCAAGACCCAAGCCCTGAAAGGAGAGGCTGGATAGAAAACTTAAACCCGAAACAAAGAGGATGGATGGCAACTTGAAACCCAAAAACGAAATGCTGGGCAACCCCAAAATGAGATGATGAGGGACTGTAAACCTCAAGCCCTGAACGGAAGTCATCAATGGCAACTCTAAGCCCCAAGAGGAAACCTGGGATGGCAAACCTTAACCCCTGAAGGGAGGATGACGGATAACAAACCCTCAGCCCTGCAAGGAGATGACACCCTCTTCAAAAAGGGTACGATGAAGGCCAAACCTCAAACGGAAAAGGATGGGTCGGTAGCTACCGAAGACTACAACCCCAACATGAGATGATGAGCGACAAACCCATGTCGAAAATGGTCAGGGGTTTTCCGAACAAGGGAGACCGGTTAAACCCAGACAAGCCTCCCTGTTTCATCGGAGATGATGGGTGTCAAGTCAAGTCCTAAACCCGAGCAGCAGTGATGGGTTTCCAAAACCCCGAATGGTGCAGGTCGTGGGTGGTGGACCACGGTACAATACACGAGACCGTAGCATCCGAAGGGAGTTGCATGCCACCTCGATTTCGCTCTTGGAGCGGGGATTCTAGCATGTCTTGCATCCCGGCTTTTGCACCCCTCCACGCCTTGCCACTCAACTTCCCATCAAGCTCGCCGAGACTGGACGATTGCCTCAGCACGCTTGAAGCCTTTCGTCCGGGTCGCCACTGCAAGGGAGAGGCCTCGCGCTCCTCAGTGCCCTCTTTGCCAACGACTGTCAAGGCTGGTAACGCTACGGCCTCCTTCTTTGGCATGAGCTTTGTGGTAAGCCCGACCTTCCTGACGGCCTTTGCAAACAGCTCTTTGCCCGCAAGGCGGGTGCCAATAGCAAGGGATGGAAGCTCTTTCCCATCCTCTGTTAAGGCTTGAAGGTTCGAAGGACCTGCAACCACCAGACCCGTTGCTTCCGCCGACGCCTTCGGCTTGGCTGCAGCTTTCACTTTCGGAAGCTTGGACTCTTCTTCCACCTTGTAGCCAAGATGCACCTTGAGCTCTCGGCACCCATGCCCGAAACCTGCCAAGGCTCGCAAGGCCAGCTCTTGAGGGATTGCTTTCCCCTCGGACTGGCGATGGCCATCCAGGAGGAACAGGGCCTTCAGATTCTCTTCGCTCAGCTTCTTCATCGGCTTCATGACATACATAAAGTGGTTTCGCGACATCGGTTCCCAAGGGTTGATGTCTGGGCCAAGCACCATGTTGTCAAACACTTTCAAGAGGGCTGCATTGAACTGCATCTCCGTTTCAACATGTAGACGTTTTTCGAGCAAGGAGAACCTCTTTACTTCTTCCCTGCTTGACTCCGAGGTTGCTAAACTGCTTCTCCTCGACCGGCTGCTCGCCTGGCTCGCCTGGCTCGCCTTGCTGGTCGTCCTCTGGTTGCCAGGCGGAAGGAGCTGGGAGGGCCGTCTCGGCGCCAGCTCCGTCTCGGAGGCCGACCCAGAGCTGGAAGTGCCTTGACTGGCAGCTTCACTCGGCTCATTGCGCGATCGGCCCAGATCAGCATTCAGTCCGGGCAGGCCGGACAGGGCCAGCGAGCCTCTTCTGTGACCGCTGGAAGACTTGGAATCTGTCGCACGTGCCGTGGCGACTGCCGCTGGCGCGACTCGTGCCACGAAGCTGTTCCGACGATTGGATGTGACACCACCGAGTGCTGTGGCATCCACGTGCCGGCTAGTGCCACCTGTCGAGGTGGAAGGTGTGATCAGCCGTGCAGACTCGCATACTGAACGCTCAGCACGGCACCAGGCTTGCTGTACGGTTCGGCCTGGCAGCGGAAGGCAGACTCGACAAAGCAGTTTGCAAGGAGACTCTTCATATCGCCTGCGGCAAGTTCGGCAGCTGGAAGTTGAATGCGCGGTTGTCCTTCGCGTAGCATCCGTGTTTAAAACTCGCACAACGCCCGCCTGTCTCTGCTCGTTTTGTCTCCCAGTCCGGCAGCCCCTCGTTGACATGTGAAGCTTTCGCCTGCTGCCGCAACACCGGCATGATTGAACGTCCTCGTGTTTCATGTTACAATGTTGCACGGTGTAAGGGGCTGGCCTGAGCATAAGCAGCATGAGGTGCGTGAGCCTCTGCCACAGCTCGGTCGACCCCTGCCGGTTGTCTGCCGCCACTTTGGAAGATAGCAGCATCAATGCAAACGCGTGACTCCAGGCCCGAAACAACATGACATACAACCTGCTCCATGCCTTGAAAAAGGTTCGTCAAGAGGTCCTCCGTCAGTGCCGCCGCCTCTCTCCGAACTCCTCATAGCTTTCAATGCTCTCTGACATGTGTGGGCAGCTCTCATGCTGGCGCTGGGCTCTGCACGTTCAAACCTCACACCATGGACAGGAAGGGCGGGCAGACCGGGCAGGGCTGCGCCGTTGGCATCGTGACCTGGCCGGACTGCGCATCGAAAGGTCACAAGTTGTTTTTGCCACGCATTCTGAACTCGTGTTGTAGCAACTTGCTTCTATGGGACACCATTGGGACCAGCAAACATGCGTCTGCCCGGCTTCCCATGAGCAGCTGGCAGTCTTGAAAGCTCGTATAGTGAAAGTTGCAGGGTGTGGCCAGGGCCTGGAATGGTGCCACGTCAGTTCGTGAAGCTGTTCCACCCGCGCCAGCGTTCTCGAGTTCTCAGATCAGTCTTCCCCTGTACACGGGACTTGTCGAAGAGCTTGATCTCGGGACTTGCTTCGGGAACGGTCACTCGGTGCTTGCATCTTGTGCGAGCCAACCAAGACATTTGCCGACACCGAGCAAGCACAGAAGAGATCCTGCAAGTGTGTACGGACTTGCTGTGTTATGCCGGCATATGACTGCCAGTCACAACCAGACTGCACAAACGCCGACGGGAAATCGATACCGGGAGTGTACAGGTGAGCTGGATGGCACTGGTTGGCCATTGCCCTTTGCTACTCGTTTCGTGGTGGCAGGGTGTCAGGTGCATGGCCTCGTATTGCCTGTGAAAGGGACTCCTGTCTTTAGAAGGCAGCTGTGAAGGAGCGTGACCCGGTCAATGAGGGCATCACAGATCCCAGGCATGCTGGTGGTTCGGCCAATTGTTTGTCATTTCCTGGTGGCATGTGATTGTTGGTGGCATGTAACTGTTGGACATCACTGCACATCCATTTGTAGGGCTAGTGACCAGCTGCGGCCATGTGGTCGCCCGTCACGCATGCTGGCGCCTTCCCCACCACGTTCGTGATTGAGCTTTCCATCGGGTCAGCCAGGCTCAAAGCATCGATGTAGCATGATGAAGTCATAGTCAAATTCATCCTCTTGAGGCCATTCACCATTAGACATCCTCTTTTCATCGATAGGCACCAGCAATGCTACAAGGGACTTGTACAGGAGCACGGCCAGGCTCAATTGAAGAATCGCCTATGCAGGTAGAGACTTTCAAATTTGTGGCAATCTGTCAATTCTCGAATGCAGACCGGTGCACCCGGCTACAGCTGTGTAATTCACATCGACACCACACTGAACATCAGGTTTTCGCAATCGAAGCTTCGGGATGCCAGGAAAGAGATAGATGGAAAAAGAAAGAGTTGCCATCATCAGATAAATCAGTTCCTGTACCGTTGCCGCTTTGCGCAGGAGCCGCAGGAGCCGAACTGGTTGGGCGCCTGGCGCCATGGGTCATGCCCAATCTTTTTGTTGAGCATTCTGACCGATTTGGAAGTTTCAATTTTATGTTTCAGTCAGGGGTCGCTTCTCACTGGTCAGTCACAAGGCCACTTTGAATCATCTCGAAAGCCAACTCACTCAAACCTGTCTCTTTCCTTCTGGCCGGCCGGCTCAAAATTCGGGAATTCTGATTGATGAAATCGTGATGTCTAGTTACTAGCTCCCGGAACCGCCGCGGGCTGCACTGACATGGATGCCACCGTATGCGAATGCCCCGCGGCCATTTGGGTCCCCGGCCCAGCATCTCCATGAGCTCCTCACGGAAGACTTCTGCAGCTTGCAGGCCTCAAGCTGGTGCCAGCGCTCCAGAACGGCTCAGAGGTTCCAGGTGTCGCCTTCGGCGAGGACCAGCGATTTGAAGAAGGCAGGCCGCGTCACCTGCCAGCGTGCCGAGGTCACAGGGGGCCACAAGACAACTACGAAGAACTGCACCCGCGGCACCTGATCGATACGGCCTCAAACACAGATACAAGGCAAAGGGAATCGCCATTGGCGGTCCGATGAGGCCTTGATTGTCTGGCTCTTGCCCGTCTTGAGTTGAGCCTCAAGAAGGTGTCCAGCCCTTGCTCGTGGAATGGTGCCCGCGCCCCTCACCCGCACCCAGGAAGTGGACTGGATACTTCGTTGTTCCTTGCCATCTTGAAGAACAGATTCCGTGCCTTGCAGAAGCCATGTTCACTGCCTGTGTTGGGTGGACCTTGCAGCCTTGCAGGCTGTCCTCTCGGCCAGAAACACCGTTCTCAAGTAAGAAGTCACGGAAACTCACCCGATCCAGCACCTCAGCTCCCAGAGTGACTGCCACAAGTCAATCCGCCAAGCAGCCAAGCCTCAAAACAAGGAAGACGACACGCGAGCTTTCAGACGAAGTGTGTCGCGTGTTGTCTGCATTTTGCTTTTTACGACCGGGGGTCTGGCATGCCGCTTCCCGAAGGCAGCAGCTGCACTCGCCTCAACGACACAGGGGCTGAAGGCATTTCTGCGAGTTGGCGAATGCGCCTCGCAAGTGCCATATCTCAAGCGCAGCCTGGGCAGGAGTCTTGTCACTCCGGTTGCAAGGACACTGTTCTGCCACTTCGAGACTGAAAGTTTTGAAGCAGCAGGACCCAACTCCTTCCGATCTGAAACAGCAGGTAAGGAAAGACCCCAGATCACAAGCGACTACCTCCTTACACGACTGGAACAGGTCGATCTACGGTTGCCTGGCTCTCAGCTGCTGGAGAGTGCGGATGGAGATTATTCGCCGCAGTGCCTGAAATGACGAGTTGACGAAGATCAAACTGCCGTGATGCACATTGAACGCAGCTGTCCTACCCACTTCGGATGCCTCGTTGAACTCTGGGCGTTCGAAATGTGGGGTCTCCTGCAAGACGAATGTCCCACCACCGCTTCAGCCCGTGTTAGTCCCAAGTCATGAGCTCCTTCGAACCGCGAAAATGTAAAATGCTGGGGAAAGCAAAAGAAAGTGTTCAGGCTCCTCTTTCGCCTTCTCGGAGCGCCTTAGCGTTCTCGCTCCTGCGCTCAAGGCGAGTAGCAGCGCGGGTCGCCGGGAAGGCCTTGGCCACGCTCACGGTCCTCCTTGATTCCGCCTCAGTGCGCAGCGCATGCCGTGCAAAGGACAGAATGGGACATCTTGAAGCCAAAGCTCGGTTCTTTCGTTGGCCTGCTCCGGAGAAGCAGGCTAAACCTTTGATGGAAAGTGGGTTTTCTGCGAGCACGGTCAGGCCACGATAAGCCCCGGACATGCTCTGAGCATCTTCGTCACTGAAATTCATCCTTGAACCGCAGATACTTGTAGTATGGCGTTTGCAAGATGCAGCTTCCGAGAAAAGCACATGCTCACAAGCTGTCGGAAGACTTCGGCGGTCATGCCGGTCAGAGCCGGGACAGACCTTCTCACATAAAATTTCGAGGGCCGTGAGAGCTCGAGAGCATTTGCTGAACAAGCGCTGAAACTGCCCCATGCCCCGCCTGATGTATGCACGATCGATACCACCGAACCTCTGGATGAGCTTCGCACGGCAAGAGCGAAGCCTGATTTCAAACAGAACGACTCGTACTTCTAGGCACACGGGCATGTCTTGGGAAAGCGACAACAGCAAGGCTTGGTGCGACGGTGTCTTCTCAATCCACACATTTGTCTCCTCTGACAGGAATGCAATCCTCCTATTCCATGCAGAGTGGGCATCATGTCCGCCTCGGGGTTGGACGATGCACCTGACCAACGGCGATCTGGCCTGCAGGCTGCTACTGGTGCAGCCGGGCTGGAGATACCAGAAGGGACCGATGTCTGCCTTGCACCTGGCCCCACTCCATCTTCACTGTCGCCTCATACCATGCCACAGGATTGTTCAAAGCTTGGTGCGGCAATTCGATGCAAGGTCGAAGCAGTAGCATGTCTCCAAGCACTAGAGCATGCAGGAGTGTAGGGGGATCTGTAAGATTTGAAACCCGTTTCCCCTCATCGAACCTTGAAGTATGACTTGGAACAGCCTTTGCCGGAAAAGTTACAGAGTGAGAAATGGAGACAAAGCACAGCCCGACACGACATGGAACCAAGAAGGAAATTGCTGAGGCCTGTAGCAGCTTGGTCAGAGTTCACCTTCTCTTAGTACAATAATATGGCAGAAACACTTCCTCGAGCATCCGACACTTCCTCGAGCATCCGAGACGTCATGATCCAACAAGAAACCCGAATTGCGAAAGGTGAGCGGAGAGCAGTTATGCAAAACTGAGGGTCCGACTCAAACTTTGCCTGGCTGAAACAAACCACGCAAGGCTTCCCCAGCAAATGTAACCAGCATCCAGAGTGTAAGTTATCTTACAGAGATTAGGGCTCCCGGATGTGCGGTCAGATTCAGCATGAAATTCCAGAACTTGCAAATTCAGCGCTGGGCTAAGCCAATCGAGTAAGGGGCATGCTAGGGCCCCCATTCTTGGAAGCTGAATTCGCTTCACCCTGAGGTCTTCCACCTTGCGGTTCTGCGCTTCATTGTGCCTGTGATGGCCCTGCCCCAACCCGGTTATTGGGGGGGCCGCCTTTCGAGATATTTGGAGAATCCGTATCCAAAGGCTTGCCCTTGCTTTGTTTCTCGCAGAATGTGGGGTTCTGAAACATCCGCTGCTGCGGACATCTGTGAACGACGCTAGATGCTCAGAATCCACCAAACAAGTGGTGAGCCTTCCAATGAGAAAGTGCCCTGGGCGGGGCTCAGGCTCAGCATCATGAGCACCGCAACCGAGAGTCTTTCAAACTTCGCCAACTCGGTGCTGGCGTTCAGCGTTGCCAAGCCCCACAGCCCTTAGTTTGGCCGATGCCTGTCTGACAGCGAATCCAGGGATGGCTCCTTCACCGTTACAGCCTATGAACCGTCAGTAACGCGAAACAGCAACGAGTCGTGCATCCGCGCTCCCGAAGCTCTTCCTTGAGGCTTCTCCGCTTACCTTCAAAGTCACTCGTCACTCACTGGTGCCAAGATCTATACAGGGAAGACCAAGATGCTGACTGTCACCAGTCTCCTCTCCGAAAGCGTATAGATCATAGTGTGATCATGGATCAGTTCGGCGAAAGCAAGACACCCCGTGCCCGTGCGGCATCTCCTCCGTCGAGGCAGCCTTGACAATCCAAACTTATAGGCTTCCTACACAGCGTGGGGACAGCGAAAGCCGAGCCCGAAGCATCCAGCCTGGTGTCGACAGGGCTCAGGCAATTTCATGTGTCTACATCTCTGCATCTTCGGCACCTACTGGACCTCAAAGTCATCCTGGCCTGGTCGGGCGAGCACCGCTTCAATTTCAATGACGATGCGGTGCACAGGGGAACTTTCTCATTCGGCAATCAGCCTAGACTCTAGACACCTAAACCTGGAGACACGCCCACGTGGGCGTTGTCTCCACTCTCTGCACAGTTACGAAGCGATGGTTCTGTCTTCGGTATGTAAAGTATTATGCATCCTTCTTTGCATGTCTTGGAGATGCAAGTCATGGTTAGATGACTCGAGAGTTGGGACTTGGAAGTCAACCACACTGGCTGACTTCTTTCTGTTGTTTTGACGGCAAGACATGCAGAATTCAAACATGTGGTGGGAGATGCACTTTGTCAATTCAATGCCCATTGTACTCCACCCTTCTGACATCTGTCTAACATTTCGGGGCAGGTCGACGGTTACTTCGATTGCGCTTTCTCTCAGTTTCTGTTGCGAGCCGGATTGAATCAGCCGCGAACACGCTGCCCTTTGGACCCACTGCTCTCCACGTCTCGCCTGGCGAGGCTTTTTGCACCCGTTCTGAGTAGTCTTGGGTACTTGTGCTTGTTGGCAATCAGGGTTTGCTGCGGCAGCTGAAGTTTCGCAGGTTTCAGCTAGGAC